CGATATCCCAACCCCAACCCCAAACCCAACCCCAATTTTAAACCCAAGCCCAACCCCAACCCCAACCCCAAACCCAAACCCAACCCCAAACCCAAACCCAAACCCAAACCCAACCCCAACCCCGACCCCAAACCCAAACCCAAACCCAAACCCGGTAAGATTTTTCCTTTCAACTATTTCTCAATTCATCTCAAACCCTCTTTTCGCAACTGGTCCTCTTAAAACTTACGTTTTAATAGGACCATGTTGCGAAAAATCGGGTTTTCACCCGACGCAACTTTTGGGCCGCGTTCATACCAACCCCAACCGTACCTAGTATAAACGAGAGAGATATAACATAGAGAGAATTGTTATAACTCTCTCAGTTTAGGGGGGGTTACCAACCCCAACCCCTTTTTACTATCTTAACGCAACCCTCCAAATAATGATAATACTGTGGTTGGGGGAGTTATATTCTTGTTTTTCAAATTAGTACTTCCTATGTAAATTCGCCAACGGCACTACCTAAGCCAACTCCAATCTCCTTTTTTGCATTTTTTCTAAAGACCCTAACCATAGTACTATCGTTACAAATACCATACATTTAAATTAACATCTCTTTTAATAATTTATCTGCTTTGTAATAAAAAAAAATAATAATACCTTTCTTATTATAATATTCAGATTCTTGAGGGCTTTTCTCAATGGCTCAATCTTATTAATTTAATCCTTCTTAAAATCTATTCAACATTCATAAAATTATTAATATACATTTGAAAAATCAAACCTAAAATTTGTTCCGACGCTGTTTTAAATCTATTCATTTTTTTTTATGTCAACAAATTAAATTATGTAAATAACACAATATGAAAAATGATCGATAATGTTAATTTATCACTTCTAAAGGTTTATCTCAACTGAATTAATTGGTATTTTGTTTTTTTTTTCGAAAAAGAAATGAGTAATCTTGAAAGCTTCAAATAATCATTTAAGTAGATCTCACTTCTCAATTTGATTGTAGGCAAATAATTTTTTTTTTAAAGCAAGAATGCTTAATTGTTGTAATTTAATAAAGCCCTAATATGGATTTTTTTTAGAAATTCTAAAATATTATCACACTTAAGTGGTTGAGAAGGAAAACAGTTATCATATAGTTTTAATAATACTGGTAAATTAAATCTTAACAAATCAAATTTTTACAATTTATAGAACATTTATTATTTAGTTAATTTTGTGGAAGATTATTTCTAAGTATGGGAAATAGGTAAAATTTAGTATTTTAACAAAATCATTAATCTCTAAATTCAATGATTTTTTAAAGTCTATTATTAATATTATTGTTTTTCTATTATAAGTTATGATATACTTGAGATCCCTTAATTACCTATAAGTTCTAAGAATATATTAATTAAAATTCAAGAGAATTTATCTAATAATTTAGATATAGGATTCATAACCTTACAAATATTGTCCGCATATTATCTCTGATATTTATTGATAAATAAAAAACAAATATAGAATAGTGTCATAAAGCTGATGAATAATACAAAAAAATATGGAAAAGATATAAATATATCAAATTTTAAAGATATAGACAACTAACTTTAGGGTTTGATATATTTATATCTTTTCCATATTTTTTTGTATTATTCATCAGCTTTATGAAACTATTCTATATTTGTTATTTTATTTATCAATAAATATAAGAAAAAATTATTGGAAAAGATATGAATATATCAAATTTTAAAGATATAGACAACTAACTTTAAAAAGATAATTTAAGCGAAAATCTGTATGAAAAAAAGATGAGTTTATGTTTCAATTTATTTAATCCAACTCTAAAGGACATATGATAATAAATAAACATATAAATAATACAATTAAATTAATATAATTAGCAAATGAATAATTAAACTTTAGTTCACATTAATTTTATTATTTTTATTTATAAATTAATGAAATAACTGGAAGAGAAACTTGCACAAACTCTAATCGAAAAAAAAAAAGTAATGAAGGAAAATAAAAAACTAGAATATAAAAATAAGTCACTAAATGATTAAATCGAAACAATAAGTCATAGATGTACATTTTTAACTGATCAATTAAATTTATAAAAAATGACCAATAAAGAATAGAATAAATAAATTTTGGCATTTGATGGAGTTGAAATGAGTGGTTAATTAACTCAATTTTAAAACTTTTAAATATATGAAAAAGATAAAAAAATTTTAGAACTTAATAAAGAATTAGAGAAAAAAAATTATGAAATTTCAAAATTAAAGGCTACAATATCAATTTCTAATCTAGCATGCAGTGGAACAGAATAAAAAATATAAAAAATTGAATTCGAAATTGATAAACAGAAATCAAGAAAAGACACATTGTAAAATAGAGTTGATGAACTCTAATAAACATTGGGAGCTGAGGCACAATTTAGGGTTGAATTAGAACATTTGAGAGCAGAGAACCAGATATATACATAACTCCTTGGATTTACTCCAGTTTAAAAAATTAAGGAGTTTATTAATATAATCCCAACTCTGTCCAATTAAAAATAATTAAAAATATCAAATATCCTATAAAACCTCAAAATAAAACTTTTGATCTCTGCAAAAATTGCAATAGAGAATTTTATTAATATCGCTCATGTTGCAATCCATTATACAATTTGGATGATAAATTATTGTATGTTCCTGGAGATGCATTCAATTTTGCTTAGGCATTCAAAGATAAATACTTGAAAACTAAAAATGAATTAGAGATTGATGAACTACTAGAAATCCTTCTATTTGAACTGAATAAAATTTGGCATGATCGAGAAAAAAATCATTTGTAATTGTTAGCAAAACATTGCAAGAGAAGAATTTAAGAAATTCAAAGAGCTAATTCTTAGCAATCTCTTTCCGAAAAAGAGATGCTACAGAACATAAAGAGATTGAAATTATAAGTTAAAGACTTACAACAAGAGAATTTAGAATATTTTAATCAAAAGTTTGGTAAAGCACCCATTCATATTTGATTTATAGAATAAAAATAAAAAATTATTATGATGTTATAACTTATGATTCATATCAACAACCAAATCTTATTTTGATAAATGACTGTTTTGCAATTAGCTTCAAATTTATAAAATATTCTGTAATTTTAATAAAAATATTATGAAATCAGCTTCACGATTTGATATAATAAAGAATGAATTAATTCCTAAAAAAAAGTGGAAGGAAGATTAAGAAATAAATTAATGTGGAATGTGCGATAATAAATTTAATGCTTTATTTAGACGTAAGCATCATTGCAGAAGATGTGGATATATTTTTTGTTAAGAGTATATTGATTAATACAATGTAGTTGTTCAAACCACTTTATAGATGGACCTCCTAATGAAGGTGAGAAAAAAATTCGATTTTGCAGACGTTGTTATGATAAAATTAATCAATTGATAGCTGACAAAGGATTCTTTGTAGATAATGAAGACTCAACATTAAAAAGTACAATCATAAAGGAAGGATATTCTCATTCTAAAAATGCTTCAAAATAATTTGATACTGCAGCTACCTTTACCTCTTCAAAAAGCATAATTGTCAAAGGAAATGAAGGCTAATAATTTTAGGAGGAGGATGAAACACTTTTAGAAATTAATCAAGAGAAGGATGACATTTCAGAATTTTTTGAAGACTCTGATATTGCTAAAGATCAATTAACTATTTTATAGGAAAAGAGTAGTAATTTTTTAGAAAAAATATGTGAATACATTTTGCAAAATGTACTTTAGCCTAATAAGCCTTATGAAAAAGTTATTGAATTTTGGAAATCGAAAATGAAAGTATTGATTACATAATGTGTTTAAGAAATTTAATTTCATTCTTTAAACATAAAACTTATGGATATTAATCATTTTATCAAAATAAAAATAATCGATTATCATGATGAATAATTAACGAGCTTTTTTCCTGGAGTTATTTTTCGAAAAAATGTGGCGTTAAAGTAAATGTAATCTGAAATAAATAAACCTGTCATTATTATTATAATAGGTGATTTTGATATGGAGGGTTCATAAAATTAATTAGAAGATTATATTCAAAATGAAAAAAAACTCTTGGTTGAATCAATAAATTAAATTTATAAAAATTATGAACCAAATTTGATTTTAGTTGAAAAAGGAGCTAATAAAATTGCATTAGATGAATGCCTCAAGAAAAAAATTACTGTGTTAACTAATGTTAAAAAGAAAGTCCTAAAAAGAGTGAAACTGTGTACGGGTGCTAAATTTATAAATTTGTCTACGCTAAAACTTTGCATTGAGCGATAGGAATAAATTGTAGGCCGATGTGAGAAGGTTTTTTTTAAATAATTTCCAAAGTCTATTTAAGAAAAAGGGGAAATGTAAAAAGATTCTACTTTATGTTTCTTAAAAACTTCATAATGCTAAAAATTTGCTACAATTACTTTAAGTGGGCCCTCTGAAGATTTATTATCTAAATTAAAGTAATGTTTTATGGGATGTGCGAGATTAGGCAAGCATCAAGATCTGGAATCTCATTTTATAACAACTGAGTGTTCAATGTTTAAAAACAATCAATTAAAAACAATTTCTAATTAGGGAAATTTCACAACCTTCTTATTTGAAAAGGTTCCTTTAAAAGATTTATTCATAATAGAATTAAAATATATTAAAATAAATTATGTTTTAGCAGATGTAAGCAATTTTAATGACATAAAAGATTTTTCTAGCTTGGAAGATTATAAATCTAAACATCCTTCTCAAAGAGATAAATTAGAAGAGTTTTCAATGGCCAGGATGTGCAATAAGCCTCAAGAAAAAAAGTCAGTATTTTATCATGGAGAAGATGTATGCTTAGGATAATTTATTATTTTGAAAATAGCAAATAAGGACAATAAATGTGAATTCTGTCATTTACCTAAAATAGCTCATGTTTCCTTTTATTATTGTGGAGATAAATATATAAAAATAAGTGTTGATTAAAAAAACAGAAGTGGAAGAATAATATCAACAAATGAGCCTCCTTAATTATCAAATTAAGTCTCATAGTAATTTTCTTAATTGTCAAATGAAGATGAAATAAGGGATAATGTGTATACAGCAAAGGATATCAGCAAGATTGTCCAGTAATCGCATTCAAATTAAAAGGGGGAAAAAAAAAAGATAAAAATAGAGACATATATTTAATGTAGCAAATGTGATTTAAGTTCAAATATTGTTAAATTGTCTAGTTAAAATTTAGATTTTTCCTTTTTTAGATTTATGTAAACCATATTAATAAATCAATCAAACATAAATGATAGATAAACTAGTTTCTTATCAAATAGTTGTAATCATTAAATACAGAGAATATTCATGTATGATGAATCAATGGTGAAAATATAGGTTGGAGAAGTTGAAGTATTTTCTTCAATAATATAAAACACTCTAAGTTAAGAAATACTTGATAATTTAAGGAAATGGGAAAAGGAGTATATATAAACTTAAAAAAAGGATCTTTTTCAGAGATACTTAAATATCGTTTTTTAATTAACGCAATTAAAGAAGACTCTATCCAAAGCAGTTGATGCAGAGAACATTGAAAAATATGCAGATGAAAAGTGTTGGTAAGAGAAATTTTCAGGAATGAATTCAATTTCTGATTTACAATAGTTTATTTATACTTATGATTGCATCTAATTTCAAGAGATAGGAGATTCAATAAAAGCAGATATGAAAAAATTTCAACATAAAAATTCCATGAACAAAAGTTAAAAAGATGTAGATATTTAAATTCCAATAAATTAAGGTTACTTGTCTGGATAAGAATGTGAGACCATTCATTCTGATAGTGTAGTTGGAGATGATATAGAACATTAGAGCGAATAATTAGGAGATATTAAATCGCCGATGGGAGGCAAACCAATCAAAACCTCTTCAAATAAGCTTCTCAACGTTCAGTATTCTGTAAAAGATTTAGACAATCCTTCGTTTATAATCGATAAATAGCAACAACTTTTTAGTAATTTTTTAAAAGAATGGCCTATGTGCTAATTTATAGAGGAGTAGAAGAAGGTGGCATAATGGGATAGAAAAATAATTCCATTTGTTGCTATTTTTGAAAGTCAGCCATTAGCTTCCCTAGCATTTGCTCTAAATCATCCAAATTATCTAAAAGCAATAAATTATTATGAAAGTATGAGTATAATTTAAGCTAGACTTTTAAAAGGCAGACTAGGAATAATAGAAAATTGTTTTAAGTAAGCTAATGTTGATCAAATCTGGTCAATAATCAGGAAAATGGGATTAAGAAGATTAGAGTCTCCCAACGGAATCCTTAGCAACAAACGATACTAATTAAAATTTAAATTTACAGTAATCTATACCTTAAAAAAAGGAAAAGAACTACATCACAATTACTTTGGAATATGATAAGGTAAAGGGTATGAAACCATCAACCAGTAGAGAATAAATTCAAGAAGACGACAAAACCATATTATCATAATAATCAAATGCAAATAGTTTAGGGAATTAGTAATTTTCTGTTAAAAAGTCAAAAACGTAAAAAATATTGATCTACTTCCCTACTTAATTTGAAGCTTTAAGGGCCTCATTTGGAATCACTTTAGATTTATTTATAAATTCACTAAGTGTAACAGGATCTTGGAATGCAAGTGGCGGAAAGTCATCATCCAAGTTCTTCAAATCAGATAATGAACTATTTGTTGTAAAGAAATTTGATGAGGAAAAGGAATTTAGAATGTTTGAAGAGTTTGCACTGGATTATTTTAGATAAATGCATCGACATTTTTATGAATCTTAAAAACCTTCATTACTTTGTAAAATATTTGGAATGTATGAGATTAGAGATAAAGGTAGTCCTGAGTTTTATTTAATTATGGAGAATTTGTATTATGGTATAGGCAACTAAAAAGATTTGCTAGTTTATGATTTAAAGGGAAGCGAAACAAATCGATGGGAAAAGAAAGTAAACAAAGTGTTATTGGATACAAATTTTATCATTGATAGAAATGCAGAGCCGATTCTTGTGTAGAATGAATGTTATATTTATAATGACAAAGCATTTTAGGTATTTATATTTATTTAATCAAAAGAGTGATTGTAAATTTTTGTTAAGGAAGTAAATTGTTGATTATTCACTTTTATTGATCATTAACAACAAGTAGAAAAAAATAAAGCTAGGCATCATAGATTATTTGAGATTCTACACATGGGATAAAGAAACTGAAAGGCTCCTGAAATTTGTACTCAAAGGTGGAAAGGTAAAATAACTCTCATATTATAAGGTCCCCACAATTATCAATCCACATGACTATAAATAGAGGTTTTTAACAGCAATAGGAAGATATTTTATACACGTTTGAATAATTATTTTGTATATATATATATAGATATAGATTTTTATAAGTATCAATAATACTATTTAAGTGGAGGCTTACCATATAAGATATCGTCAAATTTATACTGTTATTATTATTATTGTTGTTGATACTTATATCCCATATTTGGAGCAATTGGAAGCGATTTGGGATAATTTTATCCAAGCATCTAATTTTTATTCTATTTGGGCATTTCTAGTTTAGGTTGAAATGTAGGTTTAGCATTAGGCATTTACAAGAAATTAAACTCGTAAATATTTCTTTTGGTTGGTTCATAGGATCTAGATTGTTGAATACTTAATTGTTATTAATTTCTTAGTTATTCACCAATTAGATCATTATGCCTTAAAAATTTTAATCCGGCCTAACCCTTCTTGTTTCTAGAATCAATTCTAGGATCCAGAGAATCATTCTAATTATAGTCTTTAGAAATTAAGTAATCTTTAGGTAAATTATTTTGTATCATTGGTAAATTCGAATCCCTATAGTCTTTTTATGGTTAAAATTCTTTAGATTCCTTAACACTACTCTTATGAATTGAAAGTTCTTTTTTTACAGGTCTATCATACTCAGCCATCTTTTATTCTAATAAGTCTAGAAAGTTTGAATTAGATTCATTCATTTTGTTTCTATTTTCTTTGTTATTGACTTTAGGTAATTCAAATATATCTTCCTGTTTTTCATGTCTTTCTGCTCTGTCTATTTTGGGAAATTCTTATTTATTCTCAATTTATTAGATCATTGGGAAACAATGGTTAGTAAAATAAGGATATTCCAATATCTATTTAGCAGAAGGTCTTTTCTATGGATCATACTTTAACATGTCTCTTATCAAATCAAGCGCTTCAGATGACGCATTTGGAATAACTTTTTCTAACTATACAGGATTATATGTTGGGAACGTGATGTTGGCAGCATTTGCTAATTTCTATGATTCGGGCCACTATAAATAATCAAGTTGAATAAAATACATCTCTAACATTTGGTGTACCTAAGGTCTAACAAAGCTTAAAAAGCTGATCCAACTCTGAACTACCGTTAAATAAAGGCTTAAGAGTGTATAATTCAGCCATAATACACCCAAGTGCAAATATATCAACTGGGGAGTTATAGTTTGGAGATTTTAGCAGGATTTCTGGTGCCCGGTACCATCTAAAAAAATGAAATTTTAATCACCTTGTAGCAACATAATCGGTATATGGTGGTTTAGATCTTATCTCTCTTGCTAATCCAAAATCACATATTTTAACTGTTTCCCCTGATACTAGTAGATTCTCTGGTTTTAAATCTCTACAATATTTGTTTTAATTACCTATGAAAATATCCTACTTTATGCATATAGGCCAAACCTTCAGTTACTTATTTTATTACAGACCTAATCTTATCTTCTGATAAATGTTTTCCATTATTTTGATTTTCTAAATATTGTTGATAAATATCCTTATCTAAGTATTCGAACACCAAATTCAACTCATCCTTCTCCTTGAATACTTCAACTAGTTTTATGATATTAGGATGTTTTAATTTTTATAATGCTTTTACTTCTCGAAGGTTAACACATTCATCCCAAGACGTATATTTTTTTTTGAACTTCTTAATAGCAACTGTCTGGCCTGTATTGATATTAGTTGCTTTGTAGACACACCCGTACGTTCCATCTCCCAATCTCTTCACTATTTTATATTAATCCATTAATAAATAAAATCACAAAACTAAAACACAAAAAATTAGAAAGGCGACGAAACCGAGGACATAAAACTGTATCATTTCTTAAAATAGTGAATTCCATTATACTTTATCTTTATTCATTGCTGTACTTTCCTTTTACTAGATCCAAAAAGTTCGGTCTTCCCATAAAATTCATGAGTCCATGATTGATGATAACTGTTGCTATTGTTTTTGTCTACACCAAGACAAAAGACAAATACAATCCTAATACAAATGTTTTAAGGAATTCATAACGTGACAATTATCCGTTCTTTAATTAATAAGACAATGATTTCGCTATTAAAATAGTATTTCTTATTACTTAGGCTATATAAAAATGTTGAATAAATGATAAACTCAATGTTATTTTAATATCTAACATTCACAGCATTATTTACTAATTCTCTAAAAATAATTTCATCTATCAAAGGAGTCTTTACATTATAATGAATAAATAATACAATAACAATCTTTGTAAAATAATCCCATCTGAATTTGTTGAACTTAATTTTACCGAATTTCTCCCTCAGATTCCCATTCTGAATATAATTTAAATTTTGTTACCCAAAATTCTTAATACACAGGGCCAATGTATAATAAAAGTGTCATATAAAAGGATGTCAAAATTCCCATCCCTATTTTTTCAGTATCAAATTATTTTAAACACTCAAAAATATTCAATTTTTCTGTCTATGTGTATCTCAGGCATAAATTGTAATAGTTTTAAGCGAAACACAGCAATGTAGGCAAACCCATAATTATAATTTTTATTTTCCTTCTCTGATATCGGAATGCCTTAGCCAATTATTTATCATTTGTCGACAATTCTTGTTAATATTAATCTAATACTCTATTTCTATATTCTATAGATATATTTGCTCATCACATATAGTGTCGCATATAAGAGTGTATTTAATATCATCGATGATAACTAAATTAAATCCATAATAAATTTATTTAATGAACCACTCGATTATTACCATCCCTCAACATGGAAATGGTCGACTATATAAGACATCAATATGTAGGCATTATGAATATGGAAATTGTTCCCTTGGGATGAAATGCTAATTTGCTCATGGTTTAGATGAACTAAGAAATCCTGATGGTAATTTATAAATTTATTTAGATCCAATACCATTTCAGATACCTACACTCGATAGCAATATCATAATAACAAACTATAAAAGTAACTTCCTTTAATATTCAAGCTGTTCTATGCAAATATGATTAATAAGGATTTTGTAAAAATGGCACTGATTGTCCTTACGCACATGGTCAAAACGATAGAAAATAAGCTAGAATAGCTCCATTAAATCTCAAAAAGGCTTTTTACAATAAAGAAAACAATGATGATAAGGATGTTGAATTATTTTTATTCGAACTAATTTCTCGACTCATTAATGATGTCTCATATCAATCTGATGAGGTTTTGTTATTTCTATTGCTAGTCTACCTTGAGTACTTTAAGGAAAATTTAATCATTAATAGGAGAAAAAAGTCTTAGATCAGCTACTGAAACACTATGTTTAGTGCTCTCTTCAAATTAAAGATCAAAATAATAATAAACAGCCTACGAGTAAATCTATAATGGCTTAGTGTAATGAATGCGAAGCAAGAACAATTTTGTTTAGATGAAAATACTTTGCAGTATTATAAAATTATTGAAATGTATACGTTCAATAATAAAAATATTTTCATTTGTATTAATATACTTTGAATCCAAAACTGATCAATAATTATTTTGGAGTTCTGTTCTTTTTGTTTTTAAAATAATAAAAAGTCTCAAATATTAATCATAAGTAATAAAATTCATAAGGGTTTTTCTTTCCTTTTTTCTTTCTTTTTAATCAGGTTTTTCTACACTTCTCAATAACCTCTAATCACTTATCAATTGAATGTTCAACCTCTTTTATTTAGTATTTTTATTATGATCTTTAATTACCATGTATCCTTTCTTTGGACTTAAAACCTATACCCATTCTACTAATCTTATTTTAAATTGGCATTTTTCTGTTTCTGGATCATATAGAGCCAATTTAATATATTCTTTACCTTCAATTAATACTAAATCTAATGGTCTATAAATAAACCATCCAATATTATATTGAACAACCCCATAAAATTTGAGTTTGATTTACTTTTTCTTCCCAGTTCTAAGTCTTGGTTAAATGATTTTTCAACAGACTTTAAGGACACAACTTTTGGTTATGGAGTTTACATTTGGAATAACTTGTCCCATTAAATTCCTTTAAAAAAAGGATGTGATTTAAGATCATTCATAGATTAGCTACCTAATCTATCTGAGGGTTTTCTAACTAGAATTTTTTAGATTAAATCAGCAGCTACTTTAGGTACACTATCTGGTATTCTTAATTAAGCATTTTTCACATTATAAAATACTAAGTATTAAGTATCATCATTAAATGGGGTAGCACCTGTGAACATTTTAAAAAATATGATGCCTAAAGCCCATAAATCTACAGCATATTCGGAAGGTTTTTCTTCTAACATTTCCGGTGAATCATATTCGGCTGTTCCAACGAAAGAGGCTCTATTAATGAATGATCCTTCTTATATCTAGAAAGAGGATTTTATTTATTTGTATTTCTGATAAAATTCAGTAGGCACTTTGTTCCCATGAACTACCACATAAGTACCAAAGTCGATCAATTTTAAATGACCAATCTTTGATAACATCAAATTTTCAGGTTTCAAATCTCTATGTGCAATTCCTTTTGAATGAATGTATTATAATATAAAATCGATTTAAGCTAAATAAAATTACAAGGTTACTATATCATCTATTTTTACTTTTGTGTAGTTTTAAAAAGTCAGCGAAATCTCCTCCTTCTAAATATTCCATAACAAAATATAATTTTTTTCAGGTTTTTTAAAAAGTAGAATATAATTAAACAATTCATGGATGTTTAAGGTATAAAAGCATTTCTCTTTCAATATTAACTTGGTATTATTTTATTCCTAAGAGTTCTTAGATAAATCAATACTCTAGTTAAGAATTTTTTATTAATGACTTTTATAGCTACTTATTGATTGATTGTCTGTTTTTTTTATTCCAAGATAACTTCTCCATAAGTACCTCTTCCTAAAGAACCTATGGAAATGTAATCTTAAATGCTTGGCTAAATTGATTTAGAAGGAGAATTAGAATCACTCACTTTAGTATCCATTAAATTTTATATTTAATGCAATAAAAAGAGAAAAAATTTGAACCCATTAAAATGCCTATCAAGGCAAAAGGACTGGCTGATGCTTAAGTTTAAAAGCAAATCACAACTGACAAGCATCCCCAAAAGAAAATTTAAAAAGTATTGATTGTGTTAGATAATTAGCAATAATAAAATCCTTAATCGGAAGAGAGAATAGAATTTCAGGGTAAAATAAACAAGGAATCCATTGCTGCAGAAATATTATGTAAATCAAATTTTTATTCCATAAGAAAATGGATATGTTTAATCGTATGCTGATTTTTTTTATGTGACTAATGAAACCGTCCCAAAATTATTTTATTAACCTTCTGGAATTTCATTAGAGGAGCATTTTTCAAATCATAGAAGTATTTTCTCCATAGAAATTAGTTCATCAAAAATATATTAATTAAGATGAAGAATTCTTGTTGGATTTAAAAAAAAGATTATAGAATGCTGAAGAAAACGCTAAATACTAGTACCCAGACAAAACTTAGGCATTAAACGAGTACTTGAATTTGGCAGAATTCTTTTTTACTGAATACCAAGATTACATAGTGGCAGCTTATTTTTACAAAAGAGTAATTCAAATATCAAGATAATACACCGTAAAATCTATTATGTATGCTAGGAAGCTAAAGCCGAAGGCAAAGGCAAGCTAGGATATGCAAAGTGTCATTACCAAGTAGGGTTGATAGATTAAGCAATACAAATCTTAGAGGAGAGCATGAAATAGTGTGAATAATTATAGAATTTGGATTCGGTAGTTGAATAAATGTCAACCGAATTGATAAAAATCTACAACAGAATGGCCTAAGAATATGAGAAGGGGGACAATGATTAAATAGCATAATCATTAAAATATTATGATAAATGCAGAGAAGCAGCCTAAAAAGCAGGAGACTTAGAATCTGAAGGAGTCATATGCAACAAAATTGGTGGGTTATATTTCAAAATGCAGAATATCTAAAAGAGTATACAATATCATCATAAATTCTTGGAAATTGTAAAATAGTTACACAAAGAAGTATGGTTTTTTACTACTATTTAAGGACTCAAAATAAAAGGAAATGGAGGCACATTCCTCTTTAGCATAATGTTATCTAAAGAAAGGTGATGTAGATGAAGCCTAAAAGCATTTGGAAAGTTATTATGCTTTGGCTAAAGATTAAAAATTATACAATTCATAATCCGATGCTGCACTACACTTGGCTAAGTTATATTAGAGCAAAGGAAACACAGCTAAATCTTTAGAATACTTTTAATAACACTTTGATTGTGCTAAGTCTGAGAAACCTGAATAAAAGAGTAGAAAATTAATTGACAGAGCTAGAGTTACTTATGGTATAGCCAAGGCGAATGCATTTATGGGTATTAGACTCCACTATAAATTTAGATAATTACATTAAACTTGTAGCAAACAGTGATAAAAATTTAAAAGCATTATTGGATTGGAAATCAAAAAGAGATAAATGAAAATGATAAAAAGAAATATTAACTTTAATATTTTAATTTAATTTGCTCTCCTTCTAACATTCTTTACACTTAAGAAATTGTTGTCCTTATTGTTACACCTGTTTAACGATTCTAAATGAAAGAAAAATCATTAGAAGTTCTTTCAAAATGATGAATTTTTAACCAAATAGTATGAAATTGTTAATATCAATTAAAATGATAATCATCGTTTTTGGATCGGCAATTTTTTCAAAATCTTTTTTGGCTATCTGGTTGGAAAGAATTTATTTGCATAATAAATAAATATAAGAGCTAACACTATATAGGGTAAATATTAGAATAGAGTTCCAAAAATGAGATCTGCAGCTTCTCTAAATCCTTCATTAATTTATAAGTCATCATTATTAGTATCTAAATCCAGAAGATTACTTTATCCTCTGATGGAATAGTTGATGCCATAAACTAAATTAAGTATAGTAATCAGGAAGAAACTTGCTCTCATAATTAATATTATTTTTATTAATCAATTCTAATACATAATTATATCCACACAACCTTTTCTCAGCTTATTAACTATCGTTTTTCAGTATTTCATGGCATTTCTCCATCTTTTTGGTTCTTCTCTGTCTTGGGGGCTGAGTGTAATAAAAATGGTTGAGCTTATCCAAAACCATTTAGATTACTTTCTAATTATTATAATCTTATAAAAGTGCTTGATCACAATGATATACTCTTGTCTATTCAATTTAAGATAGAACTTATTAATTGAACAATAAATAAAGCAAATCCTCTAATTTTAGGTTCCATTCATCATAATGTAACACAAATTCAACGAAATTTATTTATCCTGTACAAATCAATTTACATTATGGAAGATTATTGATACCTCCAGGGTAACCTACTTTTGTAATTATTAGGCCAATTATCTTTGAATGTGCAATTCATGCTTTAAAAATATTCTTTAATTTATTTTTTTTATTCTGTATTTAATAATATGAAAACTATGGAGTTTAAAAATTCTATTGTATAGCAAAACAATATACATACAAATTATGAGTTATTGAATTAATTGGAAGCCAGGAAACTTAAGTAGATAGTACCTTCAAAAAAGGATTTTGAACACAATTTTTAAACGGAAGTTGTAAAAAAATAATCAGGTTATGTGATTACAGAATAAAGAGCCCAATTAGATGCTAAATTAGTTAATATTATACATCTGCAATTATGTACGTTCCATTACTTTGAAGTCCCATTGGCTGGTCATAAGAAACCCTTAATCATAAGTACATATTTGTATAAAATCCTAGATTTTACTTTTACCAATTAAGCAAAAATGAAATTTTATATTTCAAGACACACTTTAACTCCAAATAGATTTAATTTTGAAGAAGCATTTCAAAGAAAATAGGTATTAAGATATACAGAGCCAGGAGAAGATAACATTTTTACTACCCCTTTTTTGTATATGGCTATTTTTAGTTAACAATAATCTATTATTCATGCCAAGATCTAATATGGAATGAAAATACAGAAGCTATAAAAGCAAGATTAGGAAGAAAAAGAAAGACCAATGACTTCATTTATGTTAGGTAGAATAAGTAGTGCTTTAACAAGGAAATAATCAAAGGATTTAATTCTGATGAATATGAATTTAAGACAATATGAACCTCAAACTCAAAAAAAGTAGTTATAAATTAGAAGAGTTTAATCTGCTAAGCGATTTTAAGAAACTTTAGTTAATAAATAAATCATAGATTAAGATAAATAGGATCTAATAAGAGAGAGATATGAACATTCTTAAAAAAAAAAGATTATCAAAGATATCTTGAATGTTCGAGATCAAATAGACCAATCAATCAAGGAATAATAAAAAAGTTGGTTAACTAATCTCTATTCGATTCTAATTTGTAGGCTTATTCGAGTCAAATATATAGTAACTAATTTAATCATTCGATATAGTATATGGCAAATCATATGATGAATGAAGCCACAATAATAAGGAAAAAACACAGAACAAGATTAAATTTGAAGAAGTACCTTACTAAACATGGCGAGACTATTTAATAAAGGACTAAATTTTAAAGTTTACAAAGTCTTTGTGTTTTTGCTGAAATCTATCAAAAAACAGTAAAAACAAGAGCTGAATTTATTTGTTTTTCTTTTATGAAAAGTTATGGACAGATTGGGGAAATAATACAAAAAACTTATAGATTTAGACGATTAATTAGAACAGTAATTGATTCATATAGAAATTATAAAAAAAGAGTTGGAGCTTATGTTTAAAGAATAATCATGTTATGGAATAAATATTGGGGGGTTATGTACAATTAGATACAAAAGGAGGATATTGAAAGTATACATAATTATATATAATTTATTAGAGGTCAAGGAAATTAAAAAGTAGATGAATAAGACTATAATAAATTTTTAAGTTGATGAGGAGATTAAGAAATCCCCATATTTGGATGGGTAAAAATTTATTAATACTTAAAAGAAAATTATAATTAGTAATTGTTTAGAATTATTACAAATATTTGAAAGCTGAATTTATCTCAAAGTTTAGGTCCGTTTATAAAAAAGGGAAGTCGGGTGCAAGAGGAGTTTTGATTGCTGCTTAAGGTTTTGAAGTAAAGGACTTAAATTTATTTAAATGCATCGACAAAGCCATTTTAAAAGACTTAATCTATAAATATATGCTCGAAAAAAGAATGATACAAAGTGTTTTAATAAAGAAATGAAAATAGAAATCATGATAATTTATAATAAAATTATTTATATTTATGAAACAGAGATTAAACAAATCATCGATTCTGGAAGAATTAGAAAATAATCGAAAAGAACAATTACTAGAAGAAAACAAGAAAATTCTCTTAATAAAAGAAAGGATTAGAAGAGAACAGATTGCAATATAAAATAAGGATAATGAATTAAGATAAATTTAGGAGCAACTTCATAATTAAATCATGTCATCTAAAAAACATCTCTGTTAACCAATCAATTTCAGCTCAATTTTATTACATTAATAACAATATGATGGTAATAAAATTGTTAAGGAAATGGAAAGATAAAATAAGAAAATGTCGGCTCCATAAGTAGAATTTTAGAGGTCTAATACTTACATTAAATTACTCCACAAATAGCAAGAGGAGCAAATAAGATTGATAGCAAAGAGATAACAAATAAAAGCAAGAAAATAGGTCTAATCAAAGTATTCAGAAATTGTTAAAGAGATTTATTCAAGACCAGTTATAAAGACTTTTCATGAAGATCCTTCAGATGCCTTTCTATTCAACTCAAAATCCAAACCTATTTCCTTGCATGAGTAATCTAACAAAACCAGCTCTGATGTTAGTCAATTATAATAAATAGATAAATATTTAATTAAAAAACTAGAAAAAATATTATAGGTAGAAGACAAGCTCGAAGAAAAAAGATAGCCAGAAATCAAAATAAAAGTCAGGCATCAATAAGTATAAAAATTGTCACCTATTACATAACCTTAATGCAAGAAGAAGGATTAGGCTGAAGGTATTCACATACATAAAAAGGTGTAGGAAGTGTAACCAGCTTAATGGGTATCAACATTACAATATTTAGAGAAACATTTTTGATGATAGTCTAATTTCTTCTTAGGATAGGGTGTAAAAGACTTTACATTAAATAAAGCTGTTAAATAGTGAAGCATAAAAGTTAGAAGAGGAAACAAATACAAAAATAAATGTTGAAAAAGAAGAGAAATTAAATGATTTGCTTGTAAATCAGATACAAGCTAGATTGGCATTATTGGAGAACTTTAATTGATAACTATACTGATCTTTTATATTCTATATATATCTTGTATGTAATATTTGTATATATTGAATTTGATACATAATTCAAAAATTAACTAATTTTAAATTTTAAAATGATTTGTTTTAAAGATTGTGTATTGTTATCATTGTCACTTCTTCTTCTTCTAAGTTCCCAATCTTTTTATCCATTCTAATGGAAGATTTAATGTTTTTTTTTTCGATTCATCTATGTCAGATGTGTATGATCGTATTTTATCTTCAAAAATGCGAATATCCTCATTCACTTAAGAATGAGCTTTCGATTATTTTTAAGATGTTTTAGAATCTGAATTTTCTTGCGCTTTTTCAATAGTTTGTTTAGGCTGTGGTTGTTTCGCTTTCTGTTTTTATTTTTTCTGTTTTTTTTATTCTTGTTCGTAAACACTTTGATTAATTATTGGCTATTGAGAACTTATGAATCTAAAATTATTATCATTATCAAATGGCATTTTAAAAAGCTACAATTTATATAATGTTATACACTTTAACTATTTGGACTGAACTCAAAAATCTATTTAAAAGAATTTTAATCAAGATTCTTATTGGTAAATTATTGCATAAAGCGTAAAATTTAATTATTTTCATCATTACTTTCATTAATAGGTTCAGGCTAACCTTGATATTTTGGGATAAAATTTTGTGAATTATTATCTACATATAATCGATACAATTTAAATACAAGTTTAGATGTACAATTTGTCATCTGAAAATTGTATAATCAAATCATTGTTGCAAGAGCACTTCATTATACTTTTATTTATTTTAATTATAAAATCGATTTAATAAAAAAACAAATCAAAGTTGTATTTCAGAGAAGTCTTAATATTATTTAAACAATCTCGGATGATTAAAGTAAACTTTAACGAAAGAAGATTAAGTTGATTAATTATAAATATAATATAATTAATTTTTCTACTCGATTAAATGGGTAATGCTTGTTCTTGTCAGTGCTAAACCAAAGGGATGGACGAAGTGGAACTCAATACTAATCAAAAACAATTAAGCTAATAAAAACCTAATGCTAAAATAGATGTGGGTCAACATTAGGAGAATGATGTACGAAAGAGAAATTATGATTAGGGAAAAGAAAAAAACGGGGCGCATCTTAAGGATGAAGACGTTGCTTAAATGGCAGGAGCAAGAAACAATTCAATAGAAGACAGTTCTTCTCCAAAATTAATGAAAAGGGAAAATGGTAAAATATTATGATGAGAGCGTAGACGATAACAAACCAGAGGAATAATATGTGTCATTAGTTTAATCAACGAAAGGAAAATTTACTAGGATGAAGCTGAGTGCAATAGAAATGAAAAATGGAGGAGTTTATGAAGGGGAATGGAAAAATTGTTTGAGAGACGGTTAAGGGAAATACGTTTGGCCCGATAGAAGTTTTTATGAAGGAGAGTGGGTCGAAGACAAAGCAAATGGATTTGGAAAGCTAGGTAGATTAAAATTATAAAATTAAAGTGCATGTGGATGGCGATATATATGAAGGTTAATGGTTGGATGACATGGCAAACGGTCGTGGAGTTTATATTCATAGTGGTTATTAAATTGGATAATAAATTAGGCGGAGCCAGATATGAAGGAGACTGGAAGAACGATTTATAGCATGGCCAAGGAGTGGAGGTTTGGCCAGATGGAGCTAAATATGAAGTATATAGATTATGAGTACTATATTGTTAGGGTAGATATGAAAATGGAAAGAAACATGGTCAAGGCACTCTCACATTTGCTGATGGTAGCTACTACAAAGGAGATTTCGTTGAGAATGACATCACTGGATATGGAGAATATTATTGGAAAGATGGTAAGTCATACAAAGGTTAATGGAATAATAGTAAGATGAATGGAAAGGGTATCACTCAATGGGCAGACGGGAAACGATATGATGGAGATTACAAGGATGATAAAAAACATGGTTTCGGGATTTTCTAATGGGAAAATGGAAGAAAGTATGAGGGACATTGGATTAATGGCAAATAACATGGAAAAGGAATGATTACTTTACCCAATAGTGAGAAAAAAGAGGGATTGTGGGAAAATGGTAAAAGAGTCAAATGGATAAACATAGATGAATCTCCAAATAATTGATCATTTAAAATTGATGTTGAAAATATCTACTTAAAAATATTTAGATATTATTCACTTTTAATTTACATTAGTTCTTCCCTATTAAATATTATTATTTATTATAAAATTATATTAACTGCTAACCCTCAATGTAAAATCAATAACTTGGATAAAAATTATCTAATATTAGTTCTATGATTTAGCAATACTAACCTACACCTCAAAGTAATTTGTTAATTAACTTTAGACCCTTCAAAAGTAATATCAATTCCCTCACCTACACCCTAATCAATCAAATCACCTCAAGTTCTTCAATCCTTAATAAATGATTAGAAACAATTTTAGCAGTAAAAACTGTTGATTATACTAGTGATGTATCAGGATTGATTGCCAAATTAGATTAAATTCAAAATGTAAATAGTCCTCGACGGAACTTACCAACAATCAATGGTTAAAGTCAAGTGTCACCTTCGCAAACTTAACCTGATTTTGTAGTTTAACCCACTCTTTCTTCTCCTTCAAGTGGTTGTGCACCATTTATGAAGCAATAGGACCCTCAAAAGATGAAAGAATAAAATGCTAATGTCTTACGATAAGCTGAACAACTTGAATTCTTTATTCAAGCTAATAATGAAGTACATAAACCCTTTATTCTTAGTTAAAAAAAGCACTAGCATAATCAAATAAAAAAATTGCAGAACAACAAAAACAGTTGGACTAACTTATTAAGTAAAACGATGAATAGAAATAACAACTAATTGCAAATGAATAAAATAAAATAATTCAATAAAAATAGTATAATGATTAGATTTAAACTATGCAATAATCACACTAAAGAGAGCTTCAACAAATTAAGAACTATGAAAATGAATAAAAATAAAAAATAGAAAGTTAATGGTAGCAAAAGTACAACTTAAAAGCTAATGAATTAAACTAATCTACAAAATTGCTCAACAATAAAATTAATTCTTTATAAAAGGATGTCAATGATAAATAAGAATAGTTAAATTCACTAATATTTTAAACTAAAGAGCTTTCAAATTAATTAGAAAAGAGAGTGCAGGATTTGAGTGTGAAGGAAGAATTACTTTCAGAAAAATAATTCGATTTAGAACGATTGTAGAATGAATTTCACTAAGCCTTAGAAAAATATGAGCATAATATCAAAGATATGATTCAAAATCATACTTAAGACATGATGTCTTTAGAACAAGTAATTGATGAATTAAAATAACATAACATCATTCTTAGTCAATAAATCATTAATATTGAATCATAAAACGCAAAAGAATTAGAATCCATAAAAAAGAATCATCTAAAAGAGCTAAATGATAAATTGGATGAAGTATCTTAAAAAAACCTCAAAGAAAAACAACAAATTCAAAATCATTATGACGAAATTATTAATAAGTTAAAAAATGAAAAAAATAGTTTATAATAAGCCAAAGATTAATAACAATTATTTTTAGAATAAAAGGTTTAAGTGTTGACTTAAGAATATAAAACAGCAATAGAAACAATTAAAAAGTAATAAGATAAAATTTAAATGCTTAATGATTAATTAAATTAATTAGAAACTTAATCAAAAAATCTGAATAGAGAAAATATTAATTAGATTGCTTTTCTTAATCAAAAATTAAAGGAAATGAGTTCCGTCTAACCTTAAAATTAAAATACAAATAATTATTATAATGATTTGAAATCTTAAAACTTAGATCTTAGAACTGAATTAGAAGAAAAAAAATAAAAATTAGATGAACTTATTAACAATCTAAATTAAGTAATTGAAATAAATTTCACTTATAAAACTTAACTTACTGAATTTCAAGAAAAATTATCCAACGTTAGTTATAATAATGAAAAAGAAAATGAAGCCTACTTCAATTAAATAAAGTAATAAAAAATAACTATAGCCGAGTTAACAAAGAAAGTTGAATAATAGGCAAAAAATGAATACAAGCTGAATAATCAGATCAAAGATCTTAAAAATAATATTGAGTAATTAGGAAATTTGAAATTAGGAAGTAAAGGAGATAACATTGATAAAGAAAAAGAGGTATTTAAATGTTCTTATTTATTAGTTAAATAAACATCTTATTCAAAAAACAAATGAATATAAACAATAAGTTGTTGAATTAGAAAATGTATTATAGGGTCTATAGGAAGAAATAAAACAGAAAAACTAAATAATATCCATTCATGAAAAGACTATTAATGATTTAAAAAAAAATAGTAAAGAAATGAAATAACAAATAATGTCATCTTAAATGAGTGGGATTGCTATGAATGAGAAATAGGTTCAAGAATATGAAAGTCAAATCATGCAATTAAAGGATGAAACTAATTCTCAAAAAGTAAAGATTGAAAATTTACAATCCTAATTAAAATAAGTTAGAAAAGATAAAGCTCATTTATCTATGACATTAATGAATTCGGGGATGCTTAACATATAATCAAGTGTGACAGAAAAAAACTGAGAACTAGTATATATATCGTTTGAAAAATTCTAATTTTAGATTTTCAATTAATTTTAATTATTAATCATTATTATTAAATAAGCTATTTTGTGCATTGAGCCAAATTTTGGTCCCATAATGCTACGAGTTTTTCCTTTAATAAAATAGAAAACTTTTTCATTTACTAAAATATTAAAATTGACATACTTCGATAACATTTTTTTCTTATTATACTTCAGGATAAGTCTGCTCTGCAATTTAAAATACTGTATGCAGAGGGATAACTAATTTTTCATTCCAAAATCTCCCCATAAAGTTTTTAGCTTTACATAAGAATTAGCTGAATATCATCTAGATTACTATTATATTCTTACTTTATTTTCTTACGAATTTCTAGTTGCTTAGTTAAACTATTGAGATGAAAATTTTGCCAGAATCCAAACCTATAATGCCTTCTTATAAAAAAGCAAAGCCGGCTATAAAAACCTAACTTTTTCTTAGGTTTTTAAATAGTGATCAGACTGAATGCTAGTTTCTAAAATAATGACAACAAATTATCTAGCAATTTGCCATTATTGATCTTACGCATTATATTTAATTAATTCTGAAAAAACATTTTGTGTCATCTTTTCCATTTACTTGGTAAATTTTCTCATCTTACTATTTTAAAGTGCTGCTGTGACTTCTCTAACATCAGATTTACTTCTATCAATGTCTTTATTAGTAAGTGTTTAAGAAATTTAGGAAGATGATAATGTTGAATCTCTACTATCGTCATCAACATTTAAATCATCAATTCTTTTTATTAGTGATTAGTTCTCATTTTTTCCTTTTTCTCGAAATACTATCAAAGGTTGTACACAACTATCATTATAATTGAGAAGGTATTCTGACTTATGAAATTTTGAAAACTCTTCTTAAACTGAGACAATTTCTTATGTAAATATATCAATCAGCCTTTCTAATTTCTCATTTTCAACTATCAATTTGCTTAATCTATTCGTCAACTCCTTTTTCAAGTTTGTCAGCCCATCTGATAACCAACTATAAATGAATATGTCCAAAATAAAATTTTGAGTTACAAACTTAGGTTGTTGTTTCTCTATTAAAATGTGGGCTGTTGTACTAGCCATTAAAAACCAAACTTTGGGCAACTATTTTATTAACCAGGTTCTTATCTAACAACAAACAACTAAATCATCAACTATATTATCAGGTAATGGTTTGGCAACAGAATAGTAATAGATAAATGGCCGATTAGAATCAAATGTGAAAGATTGTCCTCTTGGTATTTCTAGTTGCTCTCGTTAATTTTGCATAGTTTTATTTGAGCTGTTCTTGAAAGTTTATTTATTTATAATAATATGTTAGGCTAATAAGAATTTAGTATATTGCTTTAATCTAGAATAATGTCATTACTAGATTGGCCAAAAATATATAATAATTTAAGCTTAAAGTCAATTTTATGTTTATTTGAATAATTGTTTCTCACAAATATCTAAAAAAATTATAGATCTTAATAATTTAATCATTTATGTTGATTTCATAATTTAGAAATAAATATTTTTAATTTAATTTAATTGGTAGTTAATAGTAAGAAAATTTATAAAAGTTGAAAGCATATTAGAAAATTTAACAAATGTTTATAGAAAACAATTATAATTATAATTAATTTAATCATTAGTAATGCAAACTAGAATGCTTCTTTATAATCTATTTCGCTAAGTTTTGATGTAATTTATTATTATTATTATTATTATTATTTGGCAATGTGTTTTGATTAGTCAAACTATTAATTGTATTATTAGTAATTTATTTCGTTTTAGTGACAACAATTTTATTAATTGATCCAATAGAATTGGTTTTTGTTCTACCAATACTGTATTTATTATTCACATTGCTACAATTTCTCATATAAATACTATTGCTATTGATATTTTTATTTTCTTAATGCTTATTTATTCGTTATTAGGTATTGCTGGTTTATTTATTCATTTTTAGTAAATTGGTTTTCTCCTCATTTCTAATTTAAATTTTATCTCTTTATGTATCTTCATCATCCCAGTCATAAATGTATTCCATTCTTAATTCATTTTCTTGCATAATTTAAATAAAGAGATTTTTAATGAATTAATAATCTGGTTTCTCATCAAATTTTAAATTCTTTGTATAATCAACGAATTATAATAATTATTACGGGTAATTCTTGCATAATGTTTCTGAAGATGTAGCTAATTTTTTTTCCATGATTCTATCGTATTTTTCTTTTTGATTATTTGCTCTTAAATTTTGCCAAGGGAGTGACCCTCTTAAAAAATACATTAACACATAGGCTAAAGATTCTAAATCATCTCTTCTTGATTACTCTATTCCAAGATGTGTATTGATAGAAGCATATCTGGCAGTTCCAGTTAAGGCTTTATTATCTTTGTAAGGAATGTGAAGATCCTTTGAAATATACCTCTTAGCTAATCCATAGTCTACCAGATACACTCTATCTTTTTAGGATTTGCCCATCAAAAAATTATCTGGTTTAATGTCTCTATGAATGAATTATTTGCTATGTAGAAACTCTATGCATTCCAACATTTGAATTCCCAAGACACAAACTGTTTGCAACGTAAATATACGATTGTTTTCAGAAAAAACATCCTCAAGTGATTGGCCAAGTAACTCCATAACTAAAAAGTTATAACCATCTTGCTAATGATAGCCATAATATTTAGGAATTCCTTATCCATTATGATTATTCAAATAGTGATATAGTTTTGATTCGAATTCTAACTATGGATGTTTTGAATCAGATTTCTCTATTTTAATAGCATATTCTAATCCATTTGATTACGAAGAATAAATTTCGCCAAAAGCACCAGCTCCTAATTTCTTAATGAGCTTATATTGCCTAATTTAATGTGAATAATACTTATTGACAATCGTTCCAGTCATATCTTTTAAAGGGGAGTCCATCTGTTAATTAAAAAATATAATATTATATAAAATTACATAATATAAATCATTAAAGAGCTTTAATACCAGCTTTAATTTTTGGTTTATTTCTGTCACCTGGTAATTAGACAAAACCTTATTCTTCAAGTAAATGTAAGGCTTCTAAGATTTCCTTTTAATACTGCCTCTTATCAACAATAGTTTACTCATTTGTTTAGGCTGTTATGATTGTGTTTATCTAAGAGATTATTAAATATGAATACTTATTCTACAAAATCAAAAAATCTGACACCTTATCCTCTGTAATCAGATAAATTGGCTTTAATCAAGTTCGTGATTTCAACTATAAACTTAGAAACTAATTCTCTTGAAGCATTGGATCTACCAGTGGCCAATAAATCCATATCGATTTTACCTAAAAATATAAATTAATATATACCAGTAATTGGATCAAGAGCTGCCTTCTTCATAGCAGTTTCCATTAACTTAACTGCTTCAGAGACATGATAGTTTTCAACTCTTTGGTTGAATTACATTTTTGCCAAGGCTTCAGACAATCTAATTAAGGATTCTAATTATCTTGGAGTAGCTGTAATAGTATTAGAAGAGTTTCCAGCACTTCTCATCTTGACATATGCTGCAATCAATTCATTTTGTGCTTCTTCAGTCAGCCTCGGAAATATGTTTTATTTTGCATAACAAATATAACTGTACAAAGTTTCTCTGTCAATTAGATCAGTGTTTCCTTCCTCTTCTATTTGATTTAAGTAATCTTATTAGTCTTTGAGAGAGTACATATTCAAAATATGATATGCTAACATTTCATCTCTTTTTTCATTGAATTCATCGAGTACTAGATAGATGAGATCAAATCTAGATAAAATAGTTGGAGGCATATTGATATTTTGAACAACTGATTATTTGACATCATATCTAGATTTGAGTGGATTGGCAGCAGCCAAAACAGCAGTTCTGGCATTCAACTAACTAACAATACCTGCTTTGGCAACAGATATAGTTTATTATTCCATAGCTTCATGCAAGATAGTTTTAGCATTTTCATCCATTTTATCAAATTCATCAATACAACAGATACCCATATCACTAAGTACTAATGCTCCAGATTCTAAAATGATCTCTCTTGTTTCTGGATCTCTAGATACGTAAACAGTAAGACCTACTGCTGAAGATCCTTTACCTGAGGTATAAATTCCTCTACTTGACAATTAATGAACACATTATAATATCTAAGATTTACTTGTTGAGGGATCTCCTACTAATAGTACATTAATATCAGCTCTAAATCTTCCTTTACCAGCTTAAGAAAATTCCTTATTTGTTCCTCCGAAAAGTTAACAAAGAACTCCTTTTTTGACATCATCCATTTCCCAAATAGATGGTGCAATTGATTTAACAAGTCTGTCATAAATATTTGACTACTAAGAAAGATACATTAACTTTTATTTCTATTCTTCAGTGATATTTTTAGTTTTTTCTTATTCTATTTTTGTTTCTTTTTGATATGAAATAACATCAATAAATGTATTATAAATAGATTTTAAGACTCTTCTATTTTTAGTCTATCTAATAGGAGCAGCTCTGTAAACTCCAACAACAATGATTCTATCTCCTGGTTTCACATCATCCACATTATAATCATAAGGTACCAAATTTACAGTTTATGGTGTATAGCCTTCAGGGACATTTTCTGGTTACTCTTACAACTTAACATATTGCTTATCTGTGAATTAACAGAGATTATGGATGAGTTCATAGGAATTCTTGTCTCTACATCTCTAACAACTGATTGGTTCTTCCACTCTTCCTCTTTCAATATTCACTCCTACTATGTGACCGCATTTTGTGCATTTGAATGTAGCTTATTTCATATCTGGATATAATTCACTGCATCTGATGACTATTCCAGTCACACTAATTAATTTATTTATATCCTTTGGATTCAATTCCCTCACTTGAACATTCCTCTCCAGATTTATAATACCTATCAAAAGTCTTTAGGCATATAATCTGAATTCTTCCCTCTCCTATTCATTTCTAGCTTTCAAAGATAAAAAGTCATCATAAAACACCTTTTATACTACAGTATCAAAAATTGGAATAATTTCAGCTGGATAATGAATTAATTGCTAATACAAATGGTTATTGAATTCTAGTAGATGTCTGCCATCAATATTTAAGATGAATTGGTCTGTTTCATTCAATTAATTCAATTGACTCATATAGTATTCCATTCCTCCAGATCTGTATTCCTTCAAGAATCTATCAAACTATTTCTCAATGGCTCTTTCGTCTATGTTTGTTCCCCAATAAACTGCTTCATGAGTTTCAACAGTCATTCTTGTTGGAGAATGTTAGGATTATGTTCCTGTTCTCCTAGATGCAGTGGCTAGAATCGATCTATTACGAGGTTATACAAGAGATCTGGCTGGAGTATGCCTGGAGAAATCTCCTATTTCTGATCTCTATTCCACAGACATGAATCCACTCTAATTATTTTTGGGAGGCATTTTTTAATTAATTATATAATTATATTGCGCCAATTTCTGTTGTATACACAAAATCTCTTAATATATTTTTAAATAAAGTGTGAATAATTTCATTACTTTAATTCAATAGAAATATTTATTAATCCACTGAAATCCAAAGACGGTCTTGCAGATTATAATAAAAATGTGTCATTCAAGTTAATCTCTTGCTTTTTGTCTTATTGTTATGATATTTGTGGGAGGTAGAAAAAAATTAAAGGTACTAAAATACAAGGAGTCATTTCTATAATGGAGAAGAAAGTCAAATATACATTCTCTCCAGATGTAAATCCATCATCGTTAGAATTATTTAATGGTAAATTACAAAACAATCCTTAAAATGTGGTAAGTGATAAAATTGACATAATAAATTCAAAAATTGCAGTAGTGCTCAAAACTATCTACACAGCTGTCGTTTAATAGTTTGCTATTTTTGTCACGTTTGTTTATTCATGTTTGTTCATAACTTATTTTAATTTCTAACCATATAGTATTGATATTAACACACTAAATAAAATTATTATGAATTAAAGAACTAATCCTACATTAAAATAGGCCAAACAATTCTAATCATCTATTTAAATCAAGTATACTAGGATTATGGTTGTAAATAGAATATAAAATATTAACAAGCTATACTTTTATTTCCTTCGATATCCTTAAAATTCTTCATTCGAATACGTCATTTTGTAGTACAAATGAAAAAAGCTTTGCGAAATCAATATGAATGTTTGTAAACAAAAGTAAATTATAACGATTTATAAAGAGTTTGTAACTAAAAAGAGGTCATTGATGAAATGCAAAGAAGATTGAATGGCACATGTGGTCAAAGGAATCATTTCGTAGGATATTCTGCCCATAAATCCATAAAGCTTTATTAAACAATAGATTGAAATTGCAAAAATTAATCCAGCATAAATTCCTATGAAAATTCCCCTTCCGCATGATAAATTGGAGTCTTGGCAAAGTTATTCAATTTAACTCATTATAAGGAATAATTTTAATTATAATTTATTATAAATTAATCACTTTTTCTTGTTTTCTTTCTTCTCCTTCTATTACTATGGATTAACCTTAGGTTTCTATTATTCCTTATTGTCTTTAGTGTTCTTTTATACAATCTACTCCTTCTATTCTTATTGTTTCTTTTAGTTCTTATTTTTTAATGACTAAATTTTCTGTTCATCTTCATCGTCACTTTCGTCTTCATTCTTTGAAGCCTTGGTAACCTTCTTGGAACCCTTCTTATTCCTCTTTTTAGCTTATTTATTGTCCTTGAGAAACTTCTTTACTTTATCTTCATCCAACTTGAACTTCTTCAACCAGCCAGCATAATCAGTCTTGTATTACTCAGTAGCCTTGTCATAATCTTTGTTGTATTTCTAATTTAGAGTTCTTAATAAATGAAATACTTCCTTCTTCTTGTCGTCCAACTCTCCCCACAAGGCAGATATCATTGTAGTCAATTCAGTCATACTTTTATCTTGGTTCTTTTTCTTAAGGTCATCATATGTATCTGCTCTGAATAACATGTAAGCATTTTGTGGTTTCTTTGGCATGGCATTGATTGCTTCATCTGATATTTAGTCCATTTTTTTTATTTTAAACTTAATTACAAAATTCAACTCAGTTCAAATGTTAAATAATAAAATCATCAGAAATGTTTATATTTATAAACTTATTCATATTGACAATATATTCACTTGAAGAATATGATTGTGGTCTAAATGTCCAAACCTTGTGTGCTCCTGGAATGAAAATAAGGGAAAAGTATTAGCCATATTTTGGCTTCTGGAATTTTGATCTAGATAAATTGGTAGATTCAGGTCCTCACAATCACATTACTAACATCAACGAACTATCGAGATCATCTTCAATGATGGGAACTGGAGTATATTTCAAAAAGGATTCTGAATTTGAAGTCTAATTTGTTCCCTCATTTGAAGGTTCATAATGGACTGTCAGTTTTTAGATAATGTTTGAAGAAATTGGAAGAAAAATAAAAGAGGTAGGAAACATCCTGGCTCTTTTCGATGAAATAGAAGATCATTAAAATTCAGTTTCCATTGTCGTTGATACCACCATTCCCACATTTGCCATTAAAGAAAATTCATAAATTGTTGCTTCCAATATGAGGTTGTAACCTTAATTATGGTATCAATTGTTCTTGGTGTTATCAGATAAATCAATTAAATTATTTGTGAATGGAATTGAATGTGCAAAATTGCAATCAGGAAAAGCCATTAGTTTTAAAAAACTGAAAATCGGTTTAGAAAATGAATTGCCCTCATTCAACCTAGATACATTGAAACTATTTAACAGAAAGATAGAGGAATGGGAGATCCTGGCATCATCGTAACTGTTTTAATTAAATGGAGATTGGGTGTTATTACATTGTGAAAATTGCTAATTTGAATAGGCAAAATAATGCCCTTTTAGTTATCATCTGTGCACTACCGTAGAACTCTATTCCTTTGGGATCAATATAGCTAAAAATATGGGATGGGGTGTTTGGAATAACACGAATATTTGGAGTTCAGAATCAAATCCCAACAAGTTCAAAAATAAAGAGGGACTAGCTTTATGTTGCAGGGATCTCGAATTTGTTTTAATATGATTCATTTACTAAATTATTATAATTACACATTCTTCACAAATTATTTAATTACTCACACTATTGATAAAAAATGATTCTCTATTTTCTAGACCCATTTCTATTAACCTAAATAAAGATAAGTTAATTGGTTAACATTTTTGACCTTTATTTAATTGAATGTAGCTAATTAGCGATAGATTATATACTTGTTCCTGCACAAAATGACCAACCCCATGATCTTGCTAAAGTGAATGCACAAATCATTGCCTCGAAAATGGTCACATCCTTATACATAGCCAGACCTCCAAGTCTTACTACACGATGTAAAGTTGTAAAGATACTATTTGTGTACCTCATGTTATTAGTGGGTAAACTAGAAATGATTTTTTATTATATAAAATCATCGTTGATATCTGAACAATAAAATGTTTCAGTTTTGGGGATTTATAGTCTATCATTATCAAATCATCTACATACTCTTTTTATTATAATTTGAATTCACTGTTCTAAAGTGTGAACATACTCAAATTATAACCAGTTCCAAAGACCAATTGAGTTGTTGTTCCATAAACACAATAACATATTCCCACCACTTGTTCTCCACTCTATTTCAGATCATTCAAATTCACATTTTTGAACATCGTTGTTTATTTCTTAAATACAATAAATGCCGATGCTCTAAATGAATCAGTACCCTCTATTGCCCTAAATACTACAAGATATTTTCCCTATTAGTTATCAGCTAATAAGACTTATTGATTGTCTAATATGTATAACATCAAACATAATTGATTGTTTTGAAATTATTCATTCAATTATAATATTGCTTTCTTTATTGCAGTTAACGAATATGCAAATTTCGAAATCTATTTCATTTATTCAACCAAAAACTTCATTAATTTGGTAAAATCTCCTTAAGCTTCACTGTGTTTATCCTGTTCAGCATCAATAAACTTATTGAATGATTCAGCATTTTAAGGTAACACACTTGCAAAATCTTCAGAAAATTTCTCTAACTTCATTCGTATTTACGCTTATTGATCATATCGTCCACATTCCTGGATGATTATGTTGGGAGAAATTTAATCTTTTTTTAAAATTTTTGAAAACTATTTCATTCCTCTTATGACTTTCCCAAATGCAACTCTTTTAAAGTTAAAGTAACTCATTGAGGATAGTGTAATGTAAAATTAGGAGTGATTTGTATGTTGAAATCCATCATTTACTTATCCTATGATACCTTCACAATCATGTTATAGGGCATAGGATTCATCTTCAAAGTAATCTCCATATATAGACACTTTCTTTGCAAATTATCCACCTTATAAGAATCCTTAAGTTATAATTGTAAATACCATTTGGTTTAAATTTCTAAAACTTAGTATTTTTATATGTATAATAATCTCCATCTATCGTGACACCTTCGCAAAACTTTACAAAGTTTTCGCATGCTTTGGGGGCATATTCTGTATACAATTCAATTATTATTGGATAGAGTTATTCATCAATTGATAGTATCATTTATACGTAGGCTATATAAATATCATAGTATATACTGTTCTTTCTTGAATTAAAAAAAGATAGCTAGGATTCATAGGCTTAGTTAATTAAACTTTGAGTAAATTTGGTACGTCTATTAGAATGCACCATAGGAGTACCATTTTGAATTAACAACAATGGCCTAAGTTACTATAAATTATGTCCACCTTTTAACAGTTTTGGAGGTAAAAGAATCATCAATTGTAAAGGGCTCTTGGTTAGATAATGGTTGCAATCTTTTTAGTTAGATTCTCAGGGAGGCATCTCGTTTGAGAATTTTCATTTCGTGATCATATTCTGACTGATAGTATATTCAAGAAAGTCTATACCTCATGCATTTCTTAAATCTCATATGTCTTTTTTCTTTCAGTCTTCTGAAGAGTTCTGAAATGTATTAAGTCAGGATTGCCTATGACACTCAACACTTTAATTTTACTCATATTTAATTTAATGATATAAAATGTCAGTTTCATAGTTTACGATGGTTTAGACCATCTAATCTGAAGTGATTCGTTAATTTTGTTCTTTGTAAATTTTGAGTATTAAATTTATGGAAAATTGAACAATTGTAATAATTGAACAAGTTTAAATAGACCATTAACTTTATATATTCTAATAACATTTATTAATATTTTGATCATTATTTTCCAAAAAGATGCTTCTTTAGTTAGTAATATTTGTGATATCTAACTTCGACAAAAGAGAGATAATCAAAAACAATATCATTTGATTTAGCCATGATGATTCCCCATGCTCTACAAATTATAAAATTAATTCATTACGCCCAAAAGAAATGTGAGAATAACTACCCAATATATACTTGGTGTAGTAAATTTTGATAGTCTAAATCCAATCCTGACTTCTCAATGTAGACTTTAACAAAGTCCTTCAAGATCTCCTCATCAATCATCCCTTCCTCTATATAAAAGTAAGGTGGATTTGGGTTTAGATAACTAAATTGTGATTCATTGAAATAGTTGGCTATGTCAAATCCTCTGAAGTTATAGGAGGAATACTCAAAATCGATGAACATTACCTTATCGAAGTTCTAATTGATGATAAGAATGTAATATTACAGGTGGGATCAATAGGATGTTATTTGCTAATAGATCGTTGTGGGAAAATACAATGTCATCTTTTGGTAATATTGATTGCAAAAATTTAACTTCCTCCTCCGAGAACCAATGAGCCATGTTAGATAGAATAGACTTCTCGTCTTCAGAGAATAAATTGGAACAAACTTTCTCTCTTACTTACTATAAGAAATCTGAATTTTCTTCCAAGTTTTTTTCAAACAAAGGGGTTCTGTCATTCATTTGATTAGACACGTCTATCTGATGAAACTTGCACAAGGTCTATGCCACTTGGGTGTAAGTTTCAGGATCCTTCATTGACTCCTGACTCATGACCTCATTCTCTATGTATTCTTCCAAACGAACCTTTTATTATTAAATTAGTTGTTACATGTTAAGTGTGACCATAAAAATGAGGACCCATTTTACATTTAGCTACTTGTTTTGCTATGTGCAATTCTTATTCTCTGTTCAAAAATAATCCAACTCCAACCTCACCAAAATGACGAAAGATTATTTTGTTTGGAGTAGCATCTGCTTCAATAATATAAGTCTTATTTGTTATTCCTATTGTCTTAGTAATTCTCAAATCATCACTTTAGAGATGACTCCAAGATGGAACAAACTATTATATATGGTTAATGAAGAATTAATCGATATTGTTCATAATATTTTAAAAAATATTTATGCTTATCTTTACTTTCAATTCTCGATTATAAATTAAAAGTAATCCGTCATAAATAAACTCAGATGTCACTCTATAATCAAATTATGCGTATTATTTTATGAAAACTGATATAGATAATCATAATTATATGGAAAATTTACATTTAAATGTAATAAATTAAATTAAGTATTTTCCACGTACAAACATGAAATGTTAATATAATTTAATATATGCATAATATAATTATATATTATAATATACTTAATATATCCTTTAATGAGTCAATTGAATAGGAGTGTTAAATAGATCGGTTAATACTAGTACAATGAGAGACACTGCTTGGGAGAAGGAGCTTATGGCAAAGTGTTTTAAGGATAAGATATCAAAACCAATGAAATTGTTGCTATCAAGAAAATGGATTTAGCACTTTTTGAAAGAGATACTTATTTAAGGAATTAAATTGTCAGTGAAATCGAGATACTCAAGAAATTCAATCATCCTAATATCGTTCGATTTATTGATCTCATTACGACCCAAAGATCCTTATATATAATAACCGAGCTATGCAAAGACGGGGATTTAAAAGAGTTCATCTAAAAAAAAAGAATATCTGAATAAGAAGTATCACAATATTTATCCACTATTTCAATAGACTCAAGGAATTATGTTATAAATAATAAATGGATTCAAAGAACTAGTTAAGTAAGGAGTGATTCACAGGGATTTAAAACCTGCCAATATCCTTAACCATGAGGGTATTGTCAAAATAGCAGGTATCAATTTATTTCGATGAATTTTCAGATTTTGGATTTGCGAAATACGTTGATAATTATACATCTTAATTACTTAGATCTTGTGTTGGATCTCCTTTATATATGGCTCCTTAAATTCTATAGAGGAAAACCTATTCTACAAAATGTGACATCTGGTCTATAGGAGTCATCTTTTATGAAATGGTATTTCATGATGTACCTTGGAAAGGAAGAGATGAACAAGATCTTTTAAAAAACATTTTAATGAAGCCTCTAGTCTTTAAGCATAATGGCATTACAGAATTTACTAGAGAATTCCTAACCAAAGCCTTAATAGTGGAAGAATCTGAAAGGATTTAATGGGATTAAGTATTTCAAATGTTTGAAAGTATGGAAAAAGGCTTGGTTTCTAATAATCCAACCTTACAGAAATTGTACAATGATTAAAATCTTAGTTGGATGTAAAAATAATCTTAAAAGATGACAGGAGATTAATTGTGTAAATAATTGGTCTTTTTATAATAAATGAAATCGGATATTGCCTTTCGTCATTTTGTGAATTTAGAATTATATCAAAAATTAGATCAATTAAAAAGAATTTTTAGGTCAGATTAATCCATTGAGGAATGCGTTTTCTAATTATCAAGACTTGTGGTGGCTTATAGCTACCTCTTGGTTTAATTGATTGAAGAAACATGTGATTCTGGCGAGGATATGTTGATTAAAGGGACAAAATGGAATATATTGAATTATACAAAAAATGAATAAGAATATTATAAGATCTTTTTTGCAAATTGCAAGGAGAGTCTTATGAAAGATTCAACTCAATTTGATACAGAGATCAATGATGTTGAAAGAAATAAATTAGAGGAAAACTTAACTAATAAAATTATCAAAATTATTGGTGATAGTTTTGATGATTTAAAAAAGAAGGCTGCTGAGGATAATCAGTATGATATTTTCCATAATTTGTAGTTATGCTTCACTAATAGCAATTGAATTGTTATTAGATTAATAAATTATTCATAAAAATATTGTTAAAATTACAGAAATCGAATTTTAGTAAATATTGGCTGAAAAATAATAAAAGGACGATTGGAAAAAGATTTTGGATAGGATAAGCTAGCAAATGGAGATAATTGTAAAAATTATGACATTGTTAGTCATTATAGATTTATATTTATTGTTTATTTAAATTAAAAACTCATAGTAACATGGTTTCAAGATTACTTGTTGAACTTGATTCTACAACTGAATGGATTCTCATTTTTGGAGTAATCTTTGGAATTTTAATAATAATGATTATAGTATATAGATTATGTAGGAGAAGTCAGAAATAGTAACCTAAATATTAAAATAATTCCAAAAATTTCAAAGACATTCCTAAATCTGAGTAAATTTAGGATGATGAAAAATTGTAAAACAGAATGGATACATCTATGACAAAGAAGGAATTTTTTGTAATTGAAGAGGAGCCTGAAAAAAAAAATGATAATAATGACAATTATAACCCTGGTGATGTTAATGAAAGCATCAATTTAAGCAACGTATTTAATCTAGAAGGAGAGGGCAAATAATATCAAAACACCAAGTATACATAAATTAGGCAAAATTGAATTAATTCATATATATGTAAATTATATAAAATTAAACTTATGCTTCTAAATACATGTTATTGTAAATTATACTTACAATTCTAAATATTTGATATCGTAAATATCTCAATAAATTAGATTCTATATAGAATATAAGGAATTACAATTTTTCTAAAGCAAATCGTTTTGTTTGCTAACAATCGCATTGCTTTTAAAAATTATAAAATTACTATACTATCTAGGCATCTTCGACTTAGATCGTTTTTACCATATAAATATCATTGCAATTAATTCAATATCTTATTTATGAGATAGATAATTAATATATTCATGAAAAGCTCACTCAAATATTAAGAAAATAATTTGGATATTTTTTTGTTCTTTAAAGATTTATTTAGCAAATATAACTACTATTTAAAATATATCAAACATCTATCTTTATGTGCAAAAATTTATAACTATTGAATATAGAAGCCTCTCATAAATAAAACTTATTTTATTATAAAGACATATTTAGAATTATATTATTAATAGAAAAGATTCAATACCAAAAAAACAACCTTATAGGCATTCTTTAGAAATTAAAAATCATCTAATTACTTTTATAATTATTTCATTCTTAATGTTTATTTAATGGTATTTTAATAAGTAATTTAATCTAAGATTATAGACTTATCATATTTCATTGAGAAACAATAACAACAATATTAAAAAGGTTTGAAGCCTTATATCTTTATTTAACTGTGCTTGTAATATAATTTAGAATATGATTATGCAATCAGAAATAATACTCCATAATTTCTTCCTGTCTCATTTGTATAAAGTTTGAGAAATCATTTGTATAATTCTCTACGTTCTATGGATTTTAATAAACTATGTGCACTATCTCAAGTAATTTCCTTAATCCAATTCCACTACAATAGACGGCTATCCATAATATTATTCCTATAAAGAAAAACAACTTTGCTATTAATCTCAAACTCTTTTAGATAGACTTTGGTGTTTCAACCATAATATAGTAACTTAAATTAAATGCTATATTACAATGCTCCTAATAGTGCTAAGACCACTTCTAAAATTCCTGAAAATATAAGAGCATTCACTATTCGTAAATCTTGCATTAATATTTTCCCAACTAAAAATTCAATAACTTCAGGTAAAAATGGTTTGAATATCCCTGCAATGAATTCTTTTATTGAATTACTCATCTAAAATAAAATATATAATTACTCTTGGGCATTAAATTTCAAAGTGATCTATATCATTGTCTATACATATCAACAAGCTCAACAAAGAAAATATAGAGTGTATCAAAATATAGAAATAAAAGGTATTCTTAATTATTACAAAAATCATTTCTAATTTAATTTATTATTTTCTTGAATTGTTTAATTAGGAATGAGAAAACTGATTGATACATCAAACCAAAATATTTTATTAAGATATATTTCAAATTAATACTTATAATCATAAATAAGGGTTTGTAAAAACAGAATAATTTGTTCATCAATATCCTGCTTAATTTATCTCAGTACTTTCTGCATTTTAATAACTGTGTTTCTAATAGAACAGAAATAATAATTTTTGAAGAATGAAAGATTGGAAATATTTTAATTTTTTATAAATCCTTTGGCCACAATCATAGAGATGATTAAATTATTCAATCGATTAATTCATATTCATTGTATTGTTTATATACTCAGTCAGTCTTTAACCTTATCCAAACATTCCCACATGATTATTGAATTACCTCTCACAATTGCTTAACCAATATCAACTAGTTGATCTGTGACATTTGAAAGAGCCTGGATACAGATTATCTTTATTTTCTGCTCCTTGTCCTGGAATCAATTCTTTGCAATGATCAAGTACTAAATTCATGAAAATGTCAAATCTAATTTTAATAAGAATTGATTTTACCCAATTACTGTACCAATAATTGTTCGTTTTGCATTCAACTTAATTTTTAATCTCTTTCCAAAATATTTATTTAAATCCGCTTGATATCCTTGTTTATGTTGTTATCCTCTCTTTTATGATTACATAGAAGTAAATTGTTAATATAAATATTTAATTAATAAAAATAATAAAACATTGTATATGAATAAAATATTATTAAAAGCATGGCCTTTACAAAACAAAACAAAAGTGGCATAGTTAGTCTATAAATAAATCAAAAAATCAATTGGCTTTTTTCGATTTAGAATGCTTTTTCACTTATTCTTGATCATTTTGAGGATCTTCTTTAATGTATCGCAGCTTTTTATAATACCTATTTTTTATCATATTCATTGTTTTGCCTGGAAACTATTTGACTATTTTGTTAAAATTGGGACCAACCTATTAAACTAATTCCAAGATACGCTTATCCTCTTGGAATGTAAATCTGATGGCATTATTTGATATTGTTGATAAAATACCTTTAGTCGTTAATTCTGCGCTTTCCAATTTATTACTTAAATTAATCATCCGCATCTGGCTATTAATTTTGAATGAGTGAGTTGACCAAATGTTCTAGTGATTCTTCATTTTGCATTAATTAAGATTATCTATAAAAATTTAAACATCTCCTTACTAATCAGATTGATCTATTTTGTCGTCATCCAATGGCTATTTGATAAATATTTCTTAATCCATGATTATTTTTATATATTATTTTATAAGATTCTTCAATAATTCATCATTATATAATTCTAATTATTTATCAAAATAAAATGCAGGATAAATATTAGCAGTATAATAGAGAGAATTCAATTTATAAATTTGGGCTGTTATCTATAATTTTATGATAAATAATAATTATTAAATTACAAAAATTAGATGTCTTTTCAAACTATAAATCAGCTTAATCAAGTCAATTCCAAAGTGCTTGCTTTTACAATTAGAATCTTTGCACATATTTTGTAAACATCAAAATCTCTTAATTCTTCAATTCCTCAACCCGCTATCTTGATGCCAGATTCACTTTATTATTGCTTTTATAAAATGAATTGCGAAACCCAATATGGTTTTCAAATTGAGATTTATTTGCAGGTGACTTATGAACAGTTTGCCTTCTTTTTCTAGTTTAAATCAGAGGCTTTAATTAGCTCTTTAATTAGAGTGGGGAGATTATTTTATGTTAGTTTTGTTATTATTTATCAGAATCCAAATCTTCATCCAATTCATTAATTGGGACAGGATTTGTTCCTTCCATTTCCCCATAGAGAAATGGCACCTTTTTGAAATGGCATCCATATATTTAATCAAGTGTTATTGTTTACTAATCTATCATTACAATTTCTAATAAATATATATAACAATATTTGATTAAATTAACTAACTATAGTACAAAAAATAAATGCTTTTAAAAAAATGATATTTAATCAACTTCTTTTAGTGCAGCCTAGATTTTAAAAAAGGGTTTCAAAAAACCCACTTTCTTTCCTTACCGTATGTTAAGTCCTTCTAGTTATTCTGGTTTATATAGGAGGCTACAATTCATCAGAATACATAGAAAATGCTAATGAAACACATTCTTATTTATTATTTGAGCCAGACAGTCTAGTTGTTGTGGTGTTTGTATTTGAAAATTTAGTATCCAATCTGAGACTATTGCTTAATTGATCTAGATTCTTTTTCTCCTCAAAGATATATTCCTTAATTTCTAATTGATATCCTTTAGCCATAGCCAACATCCAAGGATGTGCAAATACTTAGTCCATCGTCAATCTGCCTTTAGACTCTCTTTTCATCAGTCCTAAAATTAGATCTTTGGCCTAAAAAGTTACAAAATAATTTACTTAATCACTTGCTTTAATTTCAAATTATTCTTACTTTAAAATATTTTAACATTTTTCAAAATCATTTCTACCTTTAAATGGAGCCTAACCATGAATTAACTCATAAAGCAGCACTCCCAAACACCACATATCAAGAGTTTAATCATGAGGTTTATCTTCTAACATTTCTGGTGTCATATAATCTATGGTGCCACAAAACGTATTTCTTGTTTAAGTTATCATCATCTCCGCAGACCATCCAAAATCGCAAATTTTAATATTGCCATCCTTGTCAAGTAATAGATTCTCAGGCTTCAGGTCTCTATGTATTATTTATTTTTTATGCAGATAATCTATTCCAAGACATGTTTAAAAGAAGTATACAAAAGCCTCATTTTCAGGCAAAATCTTTCGCTTTCTCAGAAAACCAAATAATGAACCATTTTCTATGTCTAAAGATTGATTTAGTACCCGCATACTCCAAAATTAAATACACATATTGTTCGTCTTCAAAAAATTCAAATAACTATATCACATGAGGATGTTAAAGTCTTTTTTATATTCGAATCTCTCTTCTTAGATTTTCTATAGAGACATCTGATTTTTCAATCTATAAATAAAATATTTATTTACTATTTTCATGGCATACAATAAACCTGTCTATCTATCCCGAGCCAATTTCACACAACCAAAGCTTCCTCTCCCTAATGACCCTTAGTTGACTATTTCAAAATCTTATACATTTCTCTTGGGCAGTTCTGCTTTGCATTCAAATTTATGAGAAACAGCCCTCTTAATTAGGATTCATATCTTTACCAATCATAATCTCGACACTTTTTAGAACAATACGTAGTTTTCTGACATAATGGACATGTCAGAAACCCTTCATCATTACAAGACTTGCATTTGGACATCATAAAAATAAATTATATTATAATTTATCAACTTAATAACTCTAAAAAAATAAATTTATAGCAATTTAATTCATCACTTCATCTCAAACAGTGAATCTAACTTAAAGTACAATTTAAGAAGAGGGCGAACTTGAAAATAATAATGATGATATAAATAAACAATGAATATCCTTCTTTTTAGAATTCTAAATCTAATAATTTTTCATTATAATTTTAATCACTTAATGGCAACAAAGTCAAAATATCACAAAAACAGTTTTAAAATCCCCTTCGCCTAAAACGTCTTACATGAACTAAAAGAACTAAGTAATTTAATTGATTAAGCTGTGTACTTGCTAGAAATACAAAGTATCAAATCAAAATAAATTTAGAATTTACTTCCATATATTTATTTGCTTATCATAAAAAAAGTGAAAATGCTTTATTGATATCTAAAATTCTCAATTACAAATATCCAAAACTTTACGAAGTATAAAATGTCTTAAGCTAAATTTTAGATTATTAGCATCAAAACTATTGAGAAATATTATCATTATGAACCGCTTGAAGAAGGACTTGTTGACTTGTATATTCGAAAGAAAGTTTCATCAATCATAATAAAACTTACTTTCTATCCAACAAAAGAAGAGATTACTAATTCAGGATGTTAAACCTGTGTATTCGATTAGAGAACTTAATATTAAAATTTTTCATTAAGTGAACTCTATCAGGCTTTCTATGAAATTGAATAAAACCCGTAAAAACAAGAAAATTATTCAGATTAGGGCTATTATCAAGATGATAATTTAGTTGATAGGATAGAATGTGATGGAAGATATAGCATTGTCGATGTTTTTAGAAATTAAATAAAGGAATTTGTATTATAAAATAAAGATATTTATGGATAGGAAATAAATCTTTAGATACCATTATACATTCAATAATAAAGAGATGGTCAGAATAATCTATAATTTTTGTAAATTCAGTAGCATAATAAGGGTTTCTTCAATAATAAAGAATTTGTAAATAATGAATATCATAAGTATTCTCAGAACTTTAATAATTATAATCGACCTGATGAAGATGGCTTTGAAGAAATACAACTGCCAGATTTTAATAAGAATCCTGTTTGTAATTTATAAAACAAATTACCCATGGATGGTTAACCCCCAGAAAAAAAGGAGACTATCAACTCTCAAGATAATTAAATCTAATAAAATGTTTAAACTTTTGTAGCAGAGAAAACTTCTGGAATTATTTAAAACTTAAGTTAGTTTGTATAAGAAGATTTTGTCAATTCTGGTTCACTTGAAAGTGAGACAATGAAATAGAAATATGAGAAAAATATATATAAAAAGGATGACAGAAGTAAATTGTATTGGGATAATAAGGATAAAAAGGATGACAGGGATAACTAGGATGACAGGAATGATTGGGGTCGTTTGAGTGGCGATAATAGCGATAATTAGGACAATATTTAGAATTAAGATGAAAGAGGTATTTAGAATTGGAGTTGTTTGAGTAGCGACCATTAAGATAATAGGAATGATTGGAATCGTTTGAGAAGCGACGATGACAATGATAATTAGGATAACATGGATAATCGGGATAATAGAGGCAATAAAAGAGATAACAGAGATATTAGAGACAACAGTAGGGAAAATAGAGATAAAAGGGATAATAGAGAATATAGGGATAATAAAGACAATAGAGACAGTAGAAGGGATAATAGGGATAACAGGAATAATAAAGACAATTAAAGATCTAATAAGAATAATAGAGATAAGAGATGGGATCACAGGGAGGAGATTACTACTAGAGGTAATAGAAACTAAAATAGGGATAATAGAGATAACAGAAATAATAGAGACTACAACAGGGATCATGGAGATAATAGAAGGGATAACAGGGATGATAGAAATTATAGAAGGGATAATATAGATAATAGAGAAAATAAGAATAAGGATTATCAATATAATAATAAAAGATGGAATAACGGAGATAATAAATAAAAAAGGGATAATAGAACTCAGGAAGATATTAATGATTCGAGCTATAGTGACAATTCAGAATAGAGCTAATCTAGTAATTAAACAGATAATTCTATGGATAGTAGAGATAATACGGAAGGTCACACAAGTAATGAGGAATATAGAGAATCAGATACATATGATTATAAGAAAGAATACAAAAATTATAAAAAAAAAAAATCTAGAAAAATTACGTTTAATCCATTTGTTCAAACTAATAATTTCACTTAAATTGAATTTTCAGAATATGAAGATAAAAGAGAAGTTAAAAGAGAGGTTAAAAGAGAGGTTAAAAGAGAGGTTAAAAGAGAAAATAATATGAAAACTACTTATTAATAAATCAATAAAACTAATTGGAAACCAACAAACATGTATAATTAATTAATTTGATTGAAAATCAATAATTTATTAAATATAATTTAGTTAAATATTGTCATATCGTATTATATTAATCATTATAAACTTATTAATGTGCAAAAAATATCTTCTTTTATAGAGCAAAAGATCCTAATTTTTAGATTAAATAAAATGTCGGTATTGCTATGTAAATATATTGAATCCAGACCTCTCTGAAACTCTACAGTACTGTTGGTTTATAATACAACTGCTGAAAAGTCTAAACTTTCAATTGACCAGAAATTTAAACTTATTTGGATGCAGGTTTTCTCTATTTAAATGATTCAAATGTAGGTATGATTGTTTCATTTTAAGAGAGCTATTATAATTTAAAATCAAATAAATTTAAAGGATATTCATAAGTGCTTTCTTCATTATAATAGGTTAATTTAGTCGAAGTTAATTGAGGTAATGTTTGCTTTTGCTAAAATTAGAGCTGGCCAAATAGATGGATGGCATAATTCTCAAAATCTTCATTAAAAGAAAACACTAAAGGTGTAATCATCTACAGCTTCAAAGTATTCTACTTATTTTGATTATATTACTCTGATTCCAACATTTGAAAATAAAATTAAGGTGCACTGTTCAGCAATGAACGAAGGCATGAAATTAATTTAAAATGAGATAAAATCAGTCTTGCCATCTAAATTTTGATCTTCATTCATATATTAAAAATCTATGTAATCTTAATCTGTAACACTAATGATATTGGAAGATGTTTCATTTAAAAACCCAGAATGGCATTAAATACTATAATTACCATTTAATGATATGTAAGTTTACTCAGACGCTATCTTAACTTTCTGCCAAAATTCTTTGATATTAAACATGATTACCTCCAGTGCTGATTGCGAATAAAAATGGAAAAACTAATGCAAAAACATAGAGGAATATAAAAAATAATCCAGTAACTGAGCAAAGGTAATTTTTAAAATATCTGTAGATAAATGTCCTCACTATGTATGCCATTTATTTGAATTATGTTATTAATTATAATATTAATACAAATTTCGCATTAAAATGAAATTAAATGATGAAAAAATTGGGTAACACATTAGTAAACTATATTTTTCTAATTTTGGAATGATATACAATAGGACAGATTTTCGAGATTTTTCATCTTATCAATATATGAAAAAAGTCATTTTTGCAGACAATCAATAAAATATTTTGAATGCTTATTGCTTAATAAATTTATATCTATAAAAATATTGAGATAATCACTCTTCATTAAATAATTGTCTATTTTTTGGCATTGACAACCTACTTGATTGGACTTTCTATAATTAATGGATCCTGTTCAATTTTTATTTTGCAATTGGTGGCAATTAATATCTATTCTTTTGAAATGAACCAAAATTAGTCTCACTTCTGAGCATGGATTTGTAATTTAATTATCCTGAGCTGCATTTATCCATGATATTTTATCTATTTAGTTTCAGACATAAAATGTTACAAAATATAAGTATCTCTACCTGTTCCATCACCTTAATAATTAATCCTTGGTGTGGAAGATTATTATTGTATACTGCTATTGTATTTTAATCTTAAAGAAGTGGGCTATTATGGTGATACTAAGAATCTGAACTCTTAAGCAAAATTTCCGCCATTGTTATAAGAAATATAGGTGTCTCTTCCTTGTCCGTCATTCAAATAAACGGTTGGCCTTTTTTCAGGATTAGAGCCAGTGTTCAATATTTTTGATTTCATAATAAAAAGATATTAATAATTGAATTATTGATAAATATAATAAAAGAATTTTCAGAATGCTAACACATCTATCACTTATACTTTATTTTGTTCAGACTAAGAAATTTGTATTACAGATTCAACAGGCTAAAAATATAAAGAATGATTACTTTTCTGCAGATCAAACATTCTTATTTCTCATTGAACCATTCTGTGGCACATTTCACACATAATCCACCATGTCCACATGGCATATATACGGCACAGCTTTCATTTTGATAGCAATTAAAGCATTATGTATCTTTGTCAGAATTAATTTCAGTAAGAGAATTACGATTACTAAATTTTGGTTGGTCTTGATCTGTTTTGTTCCTTTTGAAATGCTATTATTCAAATTAGAATTTTTAAGGTTGCTTTTTTTATTATGAGGCATTATCATTATCGTTAGCTGGCATAAAGTAGGTTTGTGATAATCTAATCTGGCCTTACATATAAAACAAATACCAAATATTAGGGTAGATGAGTTAGGATCTATTCTTTACTTTTGATTAAATGATTTCTATGTTTAGAACTTGGAGAATTTAATTGATATCTTTATTAATTATCAGCATTGCTTTCAACGTTGTTTTCGATCACTCTTGATTGTTGAATTTGAGATACGAATTGACTTTAATAAGAATTGAAATTTAACCTCAAAGATATTCGATAATACAATGTGAAGACAATGAATACTAGTGAATATATGACTGATAATGTAATTGAAAGTTAATTATAACTATTTGTTCCAGTCTACAATTTAATTGTATAGCACACCATACTAAAAGTTGGAAGTCCAGATATGCATAAGATGAGTAAGTTAATCCATAATGATCCTATAACTAAACCTACTCAATATGTATACTCTACTGATTAAATGCTTCCCTGTTGATCGGATCTCTTTCTTGCAAGAAAGATGATGCCTTACAGATGAAATCAAACAAAAAAATGAGTTGAAATATACAAATAATTGACAAGAAAATCCAAAGTATTGCAAATATATATATCCAATCCCAATCTACCCATTAAATTTATTTCAGATTAATCATCAATAATTGGAGAACGAAGAAAAATCTGAATAAAACTTACAACTAAAAGGTAAATCTGTGTATATTACTATTAAAATAAAGTGTTTTTCATTTTTATTTTTTAAATAGTTGTTTAGTGTCAGAACAAACCAAGTAAGAGTGAAAATCAAATACATTAATATTGGGTACTGAATCGGAAAATCTTTATTCTCTAAGAAATAAATCAAGCATCCCTTAAAAGCTAAAAGAATAAAGTACATAATAGGAAATGGACAGGACTCCCCAAAATATCTAAATGCAACAATATTGAGTATTTTATATTTTTCTAAACAAATGAATTGTAAAATTTTACTTGTTGTTATTAACTCCTATCCTAATGATTTACAGGAAATGCAAAATTGTCACATATAGAAGGGAGATCTTATAGCTTAAATCAAAGGCGATATATGAATTAAAAAGTATTAACAATATTTAAAATATAGCAACTAAAATTTATATCTAAATTCTTTATATGAGTTTGAATACATTAGTGATAAATGAAAGTGCAGCTCTATTCTCAATTAATTAAATAGATTGTGTTTGAGGTTATTCGTCATAATCGAAATTACTTTCTCTTGGTGACTATGCTTATGATAATTATAATTAATTCATTTATTTTCTAATAAATTTAATATGAGAAGGTAATACCTTAGATTTTTTTTCACTATGGGCACATCCTAGAAATTCATTCACTAGATGAGAATTCCACATTATTAGTTTTCTCAATCCACTCAAACAAACGAATATAGTGAAATTTTAAATTAACTCAACCAATTACATAAAGGAAAATAATAAGATCATAAATGTAAATGATTAATTTAATTTGAAAGAGATATCAAGCTTAATTTAGCAATTAAAGCCATATTTGCCTTAATTTGAAAATCAAGAAATTAGAGAATTGGTCTCCATCACCTTTGCTTAGTAAATAAGTGATGAAAATTATGCACAAAAAGTATTTGATAGAACAACCCAATTGTATCTAGAATAGTAATATAACAATATAATAAACTAGATAAACCTCCTTGACAGAAACCCTAGACATTCTATCCGTATTGGTCTCAGGAAAGTACTCTAAAGAATTTTATTAATAATCATTCAATTTCGTAGCTGCAGTGTCACAGGCACCTGATTTAACCCCATCATAAATCGGATTATCCATGTTTATCTATGGACAAGTTTCATAATACACTAAATCCACAAATAAGGATGTCGAAAAGTCTTTACTTTTGAATTTCAAATAAAGTATCGATTCATTTAGGTCGAATGATCTGAAGCATTTCGCCTTTGGTTTGATACTGGCTAGGATTCAAAGGAAGGATATCTTCGATTTATTAGAAAAACAAAGCTTAGTGACAGAGATGGAATTTTAAGATTTAATTAGGTAAATACACTGTATTCTAAATATAGAGTTGGCACAGGAATTGCATTATTTGGTAGAGGATCACCTGAATTTTGGAAGCTATTGGAAGAACAAGCCATAAAGAATATTCCTACAACAGAGGCTTAAAATATTACAAGCATATTTATGTTATATAAACAATTTGGACATGGAACACAAGAGATATTTAAACTTTTTGAATAGGAATTCATTTAGAGATATGACCAATTCAACAGCCTAATGAAGTTGCAAATGTTTTCAAGCTTTGCTAAGATTAGATACCCATCTTCTGCCATTTTTAAACTCTTTTTCAGAGACATCGTTGGGATCATTTAGAGTGTTAATATTACAGCAGTCTAGATGTTGATTTTCGATTGTTAGAAAGTAACAATATGAATCAATATAATTTTAGATCTTCCCCCAATTCCCAAAGCAAGTTCAACAATTCTTTATTAATTTCATCATCAAGCATTATTAAAAGTTCCACCCAGTCATAAAGTCAAAACTCTATGATTCATTTTAAGAATAATCATTATTGACAGAGGAGTTAGAAGTTGCATTATTAAAAAAAAAATGAGTATAATAGTAAAGCTATTCATATTTATAAAATTATATAAATAAACAATAACTTCTATCGTGTCTTCATTGTCTATGCACAGACCTAAACCTCATATAAGAGTAATGCAAGAAAAGGAAATGCTCGATGGATATAGTAGACTTTAGTAAATCGGACCATATATTACTATTCCAAGAACTGTTGAAAGGATACCAAACATGAAGAAAGTCTATATTTTGGAAGAAAGGTACACTCAAATAGAGAAGGATAATAGATTATTATTTCAGAAGATTACTAATATTATGAATAATAAAAACATCAATTTTAATAAACCAAAAAGAATAAGTAGCTTAAATTCAAGAAAAAGGAATGAATTAGAGTAAATTAGAAGGGATAATTTGATCCTATTTAGGAATATCACTACAAAAAAGTCATAATATTCAAAATAATAATATGATAGAGATTGGAGCTAAACTAAACAATATTATTATAATTTAACAGGACAGAGGCCCTCAACACATAAAAATAAGGCACTTATAAGATCTTTTGAATTTTGACTTGTTGTAGTTATTTTAGGAAAGCTTAATGAAAATAATTAATTTAATTTATTCCTTTATATGATTAATTTGATTAGTTGCAATCTGATTATCAAATCAAATTTTACTAGAATATCAAAATATTATATTTTATTTATTCTTGTATAAATCCAATAGAGTATGTATTTTCTATTTATTATATTAAATTATTTAATTATCTAATAAATGGGTGATTAGGACTCTTCTCATGTCACACTTATTGTTTTGTCAACTATCCTTATTGGGATCTATTTATTTGTTTTGTTTATACTACATTGTTTTGGAAAGATAAACGATATCATATTTCCTGCTCCTACTCCTATGTATCAAGAAATAAATTTTTAGGCCAATCTGTATTATGCAAGTACTTACGATTATGATGTTAATATGGGTAAAACAAAAATAAACATAGTGCATAGAAACCCAAATGTTTATCCAGGAAATCCTGAAAAAGTCAGAAACATTCCCTATGTCTATATCAAAAATAGATATTGGAAAACCAATTTATATATAATATATTTTCATGGGAACGCGGAAGACATGTAAATTTATAAATAAAGGTGTAGGTATTCAGCTGTAGAATTTATGGAATCATTATCCAAAATGATAAGTGCAAATATGTTTGTTATTGAATATCCTGGTTATGGTATATATAGGAATATTGAACCAACTTCAAATTTAGTGGAATAAGATTCATTAGTCTTATATGATGAAATTAAGAATTAGTTCAGATTAAATGATGATTAAATATACATTTTTGGAAGGTATTCCTAATTTCTATTAAGATCGATTGGCACAGGACCTTCATTTTATCTAGCAACTTAAAGAAACATCAAAGGATTAATAACTATGTCTGCTTATAAATCAATTAGATATATATTAAATGACTTTTGTTATGGATGTGGTTGCATTTTAAGCCTTTTATGTTGTTTACCTAATATTTTCCCAAATTTAGAAAGATCCCAACATATTAGATGTCCTATAGCGTTGATTCACGGAGAAGAAGATGCCTTAATATAACCACATCATTCATAAGATATCTTTGAAAAGTAAATAATTCTCATAATATTAGTCTTCCTTTACATATTTAATAATAATCCAGCATTTTTGTGAGGCCAAGAATGACGCATAATTATTATGACATTGAGTATGATATTGCAATTCCAATATCACAAAGTTTTATTGATTTACAACCAAAGGGATATTGACCCTTTTTTCTTTATAATAATTCTATTATAAACTAAATATTCATATCTTATGAATTTTTGTTTAAATCATCTTAGATCTATTTGTTGGATAATATTAAAATTATATTTTAATGTTATCCAACAAATATTTGATAATTAAGAGATAGTTTCTAATTTAAAACTCCTGCTTTTAGTTATTAATAATTCCTTTCAACTAATATATAGTTTTCCAGGTTAGAATGTACAAATTTGATTGATATAAAACTATTACTCAATTAGAAATATATAACTAATTAACAAATCATTATAAATCTTCATCACTGTTGACTTATTCCTCTGCTTCTTAAATTAATTAATTCCAATTAGTTTCACCTACTTCAGATTGGAATTATTATTTTTTTATAATATCTTCTTAATGAATCAATTCCCCTTTTAAGATTCTTTTTAAGAAATCTCTTTCCTCATGTAAAATCTTTTTTACTACTATAATTATAATGCTAATACTTTTTTAAAACATTTCTTTTTCCTTAATATTGACTACATTATCTGGTTTTTCCTCTTCAATAACTTCTATTATTTCTTAAGGTTGCCATTGTTTTTTTTCTTATTCAAAATCAACTTCATCAACCTTTAGTTTATAAGTGGGACTCATGACGTGTTGTTGCAATTCTTTGACATTCTCTTGAGCATCTTCTAAAATAGTTAAATTTGAAGACGTCGCTTTTTCAACATTAATTCTATCTTTTGACTATAAGAATCTTCCTCTTTTATCATTGAATTCATCTTTGTCTAACATTAAACCAAGTTTAAAAATGCATTTGTTTTTTAATTCATCATCTTCTCCAATGACCTCTTCAACCTTAGCTAATCCGTTTGTTCCATGAGGACTCAAAGAAGCCCTTCTTTTTTAATATTTTTCAGTCCTTTTTAATCTTGGTGGAATGCGTTCTCTAAATTCATTATTATCATTTGGCATCTAGATGTGTGGCAAACGACTCATCTATAATCAAATTAAAACATGTCATACTAAATAATCTTCAATGTCCTCGGACACTTCAGTCACTGAACCTAAACCGAAGGAACAACTTCGATTTGCACTCTTTTTGCTTTTCCTAGATTTTTTTTCAATTCCAAAATCGCTAAAGCATTCTTGAGATCCTTTCCTCGAACTTGAGGATGATGATGAACTCATACTAATTCTATAAATTCAAATCGTACCTTGTGCTGCTTGTAAAAAATTGAGTATCCATGATGACAAAATAATTAAAATATTGATCAAATATAAATGTCCAGATATTCACATAAAAATTTAGTCACACCATCACTCTTAAAGCTCTAATTAATTATTCGTGACGCATTTTTCCATCAAATTCAAACTTCTATTATTGTTAATTACTCTTTTATCTAATAAGTCAAAGATAATTTTTTATAGTGTACAATTTACATCGATTTTCTTTAATATTTCTGAATCTACTGAATTATAATATAAATTATAAAAAGTGAATAAAGATACCACAAGTGTCAACACTTTTTGTTATCCTCATCTTCAATAGTCAAATAAATTAATTTTGAGTAGGATGCTATGATATAATAACTTAAGAAATATCATTTAAATTTTTCTGATTGACTTTCACTTTTTTAGACATGAAAATTCATTGCTATGATGATTTATTCTTACAGTTCGACATCCCATTCTTAAACATATATAATACTAAAAAAGGATTCTTTTAATTAAATATAATTTAAGAGGATTTTCTGTATTCTCAAAAATATTGAATGCTAATAGTATTATTATTTTCTTCTGATGCTTTATTTCACATCTATTATATTAATTTATATAAATCTCTTAATCTTATGATAAATAATCTTAAGGGTTATTTTTCCATATACTCATAGCCTTATACGAACATATAACAGCACACCTAAGTCATAAATATTATATCCATTTACTAACTCTTCGATATGATTATCTCAACTATTGATGTAAGCACTTAAAAGGTGGATGTTGCAAGAATAATGTTAATAGTGAGAATTATTGTATAAATGAATTATATTCATAGGTTCAAGCAGGGTTATTGGTTTTATTTTGGTTGATTTTTAAGTTTTTAAGAAAATTTAGAAATGGATTTCTAAATGTTGCTACTTTTACATATTTTATTTTACTTTCTATTTGCTGGACTGAAACTGACTATTATTTATTTTATGAATTGAAGAAACCCTATGCTAGTTATACAGCAGAAATCTAAACTCTTATGCTTGGTTTGGTGCTATTGCAAGAATCTCAAATATGCTAAACAACTTCTCTATTATTTTCGCTATTATACTCTCTTTTTCGGTATATATACATCATAACAGGATAGAATCTAACTATTCTAAAATAAAATCGATATTCTTTCTTCAATTAGGATAGTATTAATACACATAGCATTTTAAATATATTTGTTGTAATTGCCATAACAGAAGAAGTAATTGAACAATCAACTTGTAATGTTGGGTCAACAGTCCAACAACTATCTTCCCATACACAGCAACAGACAATCTCAACCAAATTAACAATGGCGGATTTCTACATACCTGAATCAACAAGATTACGAGATCAAGAACAGAAATACATAACAACTTAAAGAAAACGAAGTCGTTATATCTGAAGATAACAGACTGGACACAGAAAGGTAAAGCTTGGACTAGTTTTATGAAAATGTCTTAAATAATATATAAATAGGAATATTTGTTTTAGACAACTTATAAAGTGCAGTTAAGTCAATCAACCCTTACATGTCACATCTAGTACTAAAGGATGATCAATTAAGTGACGAATTCCTGAATTCAGAGATATTTGATTTCGGAATTGCCTTTGAAGACAATTTAACGGTTTTACCTAAATTCCACAGAAGCAAAGACATAGCCAATTTTATCAAATTCATGCAAACTCTTGAGTAAGTATTTGAATAATTATTATTGTGCTTAGAGCATAAATTATGAAAATGGAAACATTGGACTAAAAGAAGTGTAATTTTTTCATAAATCCATGAAAATTAAAACTTTAATTGAACACCTGATTCCGTTTTAACATTTCAAATTCAATCAATGTCAAAACTTAATAGATTTCTCTCTTAAAATATACCTGAAATAAGGTAATTTAAGTTAATCCAAATTTAGATAATCTATATACCAGTGTAGTGCTCTCCCCAATATTGTAAAGACACAAGCCTTAGTTAGTCTTATTTGTATCAGACCTTACTGAAGAACCATTCATGACACAATTGAATTAGTTTAATTAAAATAGCGATATATTAGTCTCAGACATATCATAGAAAATTAAGTAACCTTTGAATTGCACCATTTCAATGCTGGAAATAACAATAGTATTAATTAGCTTTCCATATGTAGCATTCTGTTCCGTTTGAAATTCAGGAAAAGTTTTTAAATCCAGCCCTTGCAGGTTGTAAATTATTGATTAGTACAGCCAACGATATTTTAGACTATGTCACTATTAGAAAAAAGGGAAAACTGGAACTATGTCAAATGGATGTTCACATAAGGTAATCCATATAATATAAAGTTAAATTAGGGAATTCGTAACTGATTCAATAAACATAATAAAATCACAGGCATTATTCAGAGGACTATAGATCTAAGTTAATATTCGGCATAATGTCCCTGCTTTTTTTAGAACAGATCCTAATAGATTGAGATAAATCCTATTAAATTTACTAGTAAGTTCAATTCAGGCAACAATAAATGGAACAATTGTAGTTTCAGCAAACAAATCAATTTTGATGCAGGATCACATTGAACTTATGATAAAAGTACATGCATCAGAAATGAATTAATCGGTGCTAAAAACTATTGATAAAACAGTGAGATTTTTTAAATCCTAAAATTTGATGACATCTACAATGATCGATTTGGCAAATGCAGGTCGAAAATATAGTCAATCTATTTTGATAGCATTTTGTTTATCCCTTAGCATTTCTACAATCCCATTCGAATATCATTATGAGAAAAACATAGATCATGAAGAGATTTGTTTCATTATTTAAATTCAAAACTAAAATCCAACCTTCTCTTAACAATTAAATTTCAAACGATAATCTGCTCTCAGCATTCAACAATTAAACTTTAAACAGTCTTATTAAATTGATCAAGGATTCAAAAGATATTAATCATCAGGATAAGGTCTGTATGATAAACCCAGCATAACAATTCAAGGGTAAATGGAAAAATAGAAATTGAAACAATAACCGTTACAGTAATAGAAATTGCAGTCATAATCCCAAGGTTTAGGTAATCAACCCTAAAAAAAAGATTAGGCAATGAAATTATCAACATCCTTTGGATAATAAAATTAGTCTCGTTTCATTGTACCGAGAACATCCCAAGGAGATATTGATATTGATTTTCTACCCACTTTTAAAACAATAAAATCTTAGGATCAAAGCAGAAAGATTAAATAGGTGATTTCTCACTCGAAATCAGATATATCAATAGTGTCTGAGTAGGATTCAAAGGAATCAAAAGGGGCAAAGGAGAGTTCTCATAATAGTTTAGACTTAGGAGTTCAACTGGATTAATTTTTATACAATAAGACTGGGAAAATAAATGAAGATGATTCTCCTTTGGTAATAATGTAATAATCAATAAATTACACTTACAATAACAATATTTCGAACAACAAAAGAGACTCAGTTCTAACATTTGGGGGAAGATCAAGTATCTTCTCATCCATGAGATATTCGGCTAGTATAATGTAACCAAACGATTTAATAGACTGTTTTGAGAAGATGGAAAAAATTAAACAATAAAAATACACCTAAAAATGCTAAGTAAGTCTTATAATCTTATATTTGTAGTGTCCTAAAATTCTGATTTGTGAGTAAAACGATTTTGATTTATATGCTGTCTCTCATTAGCTTGGTAATATTGGAATGAATTTTGATTACATCATGTAGAGAACTCAAATACACGAGAAATTAAAAACTGCGTATGAGGTTGAAAAGTCTTGTTGCAAGGGATACTAATTGATATTTATTAGTGTAGAGTATGTCGATGAAGAATTAGGGGAACAGTGTAACTTAATTAAAAACATCAACTCTCAATTTAAAAAGGAAGCTCGGATTATAGGATTAATAGGGTTTCAGGATGATGACAATAGGAATGCTATAAAGAAGTTGCCATTTCATGATTTCTTATCAAAACCATTGATGATAGATGCGTTATTGTTTATATTAGCTAAGTGGGTGAAATTGTGATTGTTAAATTAATAAATAATTTATATACTAATAAATGAACATACTATCAAATTATTTTAAGTTAAACCCAGAGACATATGAGCATTTTATTTTGTGGAAATCGACCATGACTATCATATCCTCCTATTAGTGCTTCGATATTGTTTTAACCATAGCTTAAGCTCTGAATTACGAAATAGAAGGACAAAAACTGGTTTTCATCTATCGCATAATGGTAATTAAAATAGTGAACATTTTTAGATCTAAGTGTTTTTGATAATTGCTTTTCATATTGCAATGAGTAAATTAAAGAAGGAAACTGCTCTCTTAATAAATATAATCACAATGTTGAAATATTTCAGTCTAATAATTTTATGGTGTGAAACTAATTATGACTTAATATATACTAATGAATATGATCAAAGAAGTTATGCATTTGAGATTTATGGAATCATGATATTGTTTCTGATTGCAATTGAGTCATAGCTTTGCAAGAGTCTTGTAATTTTATTTTCGCTGTTTTACACTTTATTTAGGTATTATAAACGCATTGATAATAGATTCCCTTCATTTACTGACAATTTAGAAGTGATAGGATCAACAAGGATCATTTTTGGACATCTTATGATCTAATCTTTGTTGATTTATAACTTATATCAAACTTAAAATTCAAACGAAACCGTGTTATATAGGAACTTCAGCCCATAACACACTCAAAGAGCCCTTTATACAAATACCTAGAGAGAAATGACAGAACCATAAAATAAAAGAAATAACATCCAAAACATAACAAATGAGGATCTTGAAAATCTAAACAATTTGAAGCAATTAGAATAGTAGTATGAATTTTTATTGGTGAATTTTCAATGTGGAATCTACATTTTTGAAAATGCCTAACAACCAATAAGAATAATAAATTCATTCATGTCCCATATTGTTTTGACCAATGATTAGTTAAATCCATAGTTGACTCAGTTGGAATTGTATGATTTTGGATTGCTTTCTGAAGAATCATGCACCATATTGCCCAGCTTTCATAGAAGTAAAGACATCAGTAACTTCATCAAATTTACTTAAACCCTTGAGTACTAATATATTAATGTATTTGAACATAGAACATATTGTTTGAGAATGTACAATTTGAAGAAAAGAAAGAAATACAGTTCTTTTGTAGGAAAATGTAAATGCAAACCTTAATCGAACATCTGCTTGCTTTTTCTCACATCAAATATAATTTAACAAATTTCGCCTTGGACTTTTCCTTGAAGATTTATATCAAAAAAGGTATTTTCCAATCAGTATAACTAGACAAACTGTACACTCAAGTCATTTTGAATCCCGTGATTATGTAAAGTAAACCTCAAATTCTGATCTACATCAACGATTTAACTGAAGAACCATTCATTCTCTAACTCTAACAATATCTAAAAAATAGTGATGACATTATACAAACCATTTCCTAGAAAATCAAAGAACCTTTGAATTGCACATTGTCAATGTTAGAACTGGTCCAAGTAATTTGTTTCTATTAATCTAAAATAGAAAGAAGTCAATCAGGATTTATAAAACTAATATATTGATCCAGCATTGGCAGGTTGCAAATTATTAATAAGCACTGCAAATGACTTTTAGGATTATGTCACTATGCATAAAAAGAATAAATTAGACCGAAACTTGATGGATATTCACACTAGAGAATTCATTTCAGATTGTTTAAACATCATAAAAGCACAAGCTTTATTTAGAGGCTTAAATATACAAGTTAACATTAAACAGAATGTTCCAATGTTCTTAAGAACTGATCCAAACAGAGTTCGACAAGTTGTGTTAAGTTTGTTAAGTAATAATTTTTAGATTCATAAAATATAGTCAAATCCATTCAAGTTACTGTTAATGGTAGCATCGAAATTTCCACTTAAAAGTCGCCATTATTGACAGATCACATAGAGATAATCATTAAGGTCATGGCTACAACTGTAAACGAAGGAATCTTAGAAAGCGTAGAACAAACCATCAAGCACTTGAAATAACAAACTTTAGTTAGTAAATAAATGACAGACATAGTTGCAACTTCAAAATAATATTCTTTTTCTATTCTCACAGCCTTCTATATATCCCTAGCTGTTGCTATCATGCCTTTTGAATTCAATTCAATTAAGACTGAAGAAGGCACATAATTCTATTTTATCTTATTGATTAAGAATGAGAATCCAAACTTCAATAAACAGCTAACACAAAAAAGGTAATCTGCATTGGTTGCAAACAAGTCCCAATTTCATTAAGTGTATGGTTAAAGTGACCAATTTAAAAGGCATTAATCATAAAGATTAACAGAAATAAGCAGAATATAAATTTAAGAGAAACTCAAAAAAATGAAAAGAGAATCCTAAGAAGAAACTATTTCGGGCAAATAGGATCCTCAAATACCCTAATTTGGATAATCTGAATTTTCTTATAATCAACAATAACCTGGCAAATCTTACTCAGTTTCTTAAATCTCAGAATAAGACGACTCATAACAAAGTTCATCATCCTCGGACTCAAAAGCTGAAATGAATAACCCTGATGGGGATGAATAATCTAGCAAATCAAGTTTTTAATTAGATGATAAAATACAGAAAAAGGAATAGAAACTACAACATTCTTAATTTCTTGATACTATCATTTGCGTTAAAGAACCAAAAGCGAGAAAAATTTCAGTCAGTTTTATCTAATCAAGACTACATCCTTAGATAGCATAATAGCTTACATCTAAATAAAGAGATTCTCTTCTTACCTTTGGAGGACGATCCTCAGTCTATTCTTCAATGAGAATTTCTTCAGTTAATTTAGGTCCAAATGAATTATTAGATTGTTTTGAAAAGATGGAAAGAATTAAATAATAGTAATTTATTTACAAATGCCAAGTATATTATAGTAATTCAATTTTAGTGTCCTAAGATTTTAATTTGTGAATAGAATGACTTTGATTTATATGCTATCTCACATCAACTGAGCAATCTCAAAATTCCTTACATTTATACTATGCAAAGAATGCATATTGTAGATTAATTAAGGAAGCAATTTTCACAATACAAAACTTGTTGTAAAGGATATCATATTGTATTTGTTGGAGTTGAGTATGTGAATGAATAATTCAGCCAAGATTGTGCAAAAATTAAGGCTGTTTTAAATGAATATTAAAAAGATACAAGACTAATTGGATTGATTGGATTTTAGGATGACGAGAGCAAAATAGCTCTAAAAAAGCTACCATTTCATGATTGCTTGTAAAAACCTATAATGATTGATGCTTTGTTATTCATTTTAGCTAAATGGGTCAAATTGTGATATATTAATTTGTTTTAGATTCTTTATCATTTAATTATTAGATGAAAATATAATCAATTTATTTAAGAATATTAGGCTGTTTTTGTTCTATATTTAATTTAATGTGATCAAATAATAATTTATCAAGACTATTTCTAACTAAATTCTACTTAAAGGGAAGCATTAAAATTTGTTATTTAATATAGATTTAATATGAGTGGCCCTAACATATTTTGTAAGAATAAATTAGAAACCTGATAAGCTATTAGAATTATTGATTATTTTTACATTATTTCATTTGAAATGACTCTTCTCTTTAGAGATGTTGAAATTCTTAAATAAAGTGGAGAACCATGAGAAGAAGATAATAAAGTATTTTTACATTTGAGCACCTCCTACAATAGTTTACTAATGGTTGATAAATGATTAAATAAATTTCAATGGGAGTAAAAATGATACTGCCCTTAATCTAATATGAGATAAGCATAATAAATGAAAATCAATATACAATTATTTTATTTTATATCACATCTTGACTTCTTTTAATCCGTCTAAAATGTAAATGAAAGCTGGGGCAGCTTGTCCTTCTTTGTAATAACCAAGAACTATGTGATTTTCCATGTCATATGATTCTGGACAGTAGCTAAACAATAGATTGTAGAGATTACAATTAAAGCTCGTTGAAGTTTGCAGACACCCATTTAATGAATTCGCCAGCTCCCTTTTAGAATGAAGCAACTCTGTCTGGGTTTGTTTGCTTCTAAATAAGCCTTAACCTTTTTGGCATAAGCTTTAAAGTAAGTAACATAATCGGCTTTGGTGAATTAAGTTTCAGCATATTTAAAGGCATCAATGATGTTATTAACTTTTTAGGCTTGATCTTCTACACCTCCGTCTTCTTCATCTTCGTTCTTTCCACCGAAATGTCCTCCAGCACCTAAGAATTGATTATTACAAAATCTTACCAACATCTACATTGAGAGCACCTTTGACAATATCTTGGGATTACACTTCACCAATAACTCCTTCGAATTTTTCTTCCATATTGAAACTGTCAGAAACGATTTCTTCTCCACTGAATGCATCAACGTAGATCTTCATATAAGTTATTCTAATACCTTCATTTAATTTTTATCTAAAAAAAAGATTTAAATTAAAAGTCACCATCATTTATGTTTTATATTAATATATTTATCATTTATTATATATTCTAATAATCACTCGCTCTACTTTCAATCAGCTAGAAAAAGTTATGATAAGACCATTTTCTTTATTATCTAATAATTGAACATTGAAAGATAGACAAACGAACTTATTAATTGTTGTTTAGGATTTCATGTATATTATTTTTTTATACTATTTATTTAATATCATATTTATTTAATTGATAATAAAGATAATGGTTAAGAATAAATCAAAATATAATATCTCAAATGAAACATAAAATAGAAATGGAGGTGAATATAATATTGCTTATTTATCTCATTAATAATATTACAGTATGTATTAAATCAATATTGTGGTTGTTGATGTTTACCCATCAAAAATTGCTCGTCAGGGGAAAGTTGATTATTATTTACAATAATCTTATAAGGAGTTGTGTTATTGTTTAACGATAACTTCGATTATTAAAAGGGGGAGGGTGAATTCTATATTGGCAATCCTCTGGATGGAGAAATAATCTCTGCTTATTATTATGGGACAACAATATCCTCTTCTTCCTCATCGATAGTTTCAAATTTGAAAGATGCTAAAATTGGTATCATTCCAATCAAGTTGACAGGAGCCAGAAAACAATAGGTTCTAGTAATAAAATCAAGAGGCATGCACTCTTAATTCTCTTTGATATCACCCTAATATATAAGATCAATAAATTACTGATTGAACAAAGTAAACTATTAATAGATAATTTAGGATAAGGAAACACAGAACCAAGACACAAACAAACTTAAATGCATTTGTTAGTTGTTCTCTGAGTTTTGGAAATAGATTAATTGCTACGTTGAGAACAGTGAAAAAGAGTAATGTCAAAATATTAGCAGAGATTAGTTGAATCTCCAATGATAATGCGTTGACTGCACAATCATTATCAATCTTAGTCATTAATAACAGTATCACAACAGCAGTATTGGAACATATATTGGTTTGTCTGTTTGAAAATTCATGTTTGAACATCATAATTAATAATACATCCAACTGAGTGATGAATGATATTATTATATAGTACTTGACTGATAATTATCCGATGCTGCAACTTCCCTAGATCAATTATTGTAAGGAAAATAGCAGCATACATACAAAAACCAACATATTTAGTCCGTAAGTAATAAAGTATTCAATTCTCACAAAGTGCTTCTAATATAGTATATAACATGCAGAGACAATGTTAAAGAGTAATATAATTATTCCTCCATGATACAATGTACTGATATAAGTAATCTCTGATAATTAACAATCATGATCAATGTTTAGTAATTTAATTCCTTCGTATCCAATTAATAGGATGAATAGGGCATTTTTTATGTATTGGAAGAATACATTCATGAGTTTATATCTGAATTAATTGTCCTCTTATTGCAGCACTTCCATTTTAATTTAAACACAAAATCAAATAAAATAAACAATCAATTGACTATCGTAAAATTTTTTCTATCTTTCCGGGTGATCAATGGAACCAATCTCTTTTTTTTCTCGAGATCAGTCGTCAAACAGACCAAACTACTAACTCGATGGAAATTATGATGTTTGCCTTCGTTCCTTAAATAGAAATTTTCAATCCTCTCAGATTCAAAACGATATCTTGATTATTTGATTGACTCAAAATCGTCTAGATCACGATGGTAGACATAATTTGTATTTAATTTTTTGCTATTAGTTTAATTAGCCTTAACCCATAATCTTTGTAACTATTCCTATTTTATCTGCTCTTCTTGTGTTCTTTTTGTTTCCCTCATTTTGATTATAGAATCTAAGAGTTGTTTCCTCTATTACTAAGTTTCTAGATTTCTGAGAGCACGAGATATTTCAGTAGAGTCAAATGGATCATTCAAATTTTATAGTTACTTGCGTACTTTGAACAAGCACAATTATTTTTGCTATTGAATAAGTTGTTTGGAGAAGTTAGAAGGAGAATGGGATAAAGGTACACTAAATTTCATAAATAAATTCAATATTAATATAAATTCACTGAAACAAAAGCATAAATAAAACAGCAAGTCGTAATATTCCTAAAAAGAAATATACATTCACCTTTTATCTTAAGACGTACTGAAAATAACTAAAACTATTCCAAATAATCCAATCTCCAAGTGAAGTTAAAAAAGCAAACATGTAAATTTGTTATTCAAATGAATTACAAAACTTATAAGTTTGATTATCAGAGTGCTGAATAAAATATAAAATTTATTGATAACAAAACTCTATCCTATAATCAAATATAGATGTTCTTTTAAATATAGGGTTTATATAAACAGGTATTTCAAATCCCTTCGATAGATAACAGCAATCATAATTTTAATTGAAAACAATAATATCAAGAAAAATTTTATCTGATAATCTCCCACTATTATTATGAATCATAAGTGTTACAATTTTATTATTTCTCACGTATTAGTTATTATATTGTTTAACTTTTACTATAATAGACCCATTATTAAATATCAATCTAATTACATAATATCAGAAATTTATACAGATTTTTTCATATATCATAATGTATCTGGACTTCTATACTTAATAATACTAACTTTCACATACCGATAAGAACTGAATTCAACTAACTTCTTACTAATATCACCAAGAATATTTTAATTCACGTATGTTTTAAATGGCTAAAAGTAACAATAATATATATTGTCTTTATAAAATAGTTATAGAAATCTATTTCTACTACCTTTTTATTGACTTTTAGAAATATAATGTATTAATTATTCCCTCAAAATTTATTCTATTGTTTATTACAAATAAAAAAATTCAAATTTAAGAATCAATAAAATAAAGGCCTGTATTACAAAAAGCATGGGGCTATATCATAAGATAACGAAATTGTAGTGACTAACACAAAAATTTATGGACTCTTTTGATTAATAGAGTAGAATATCTGATTGAATTTAGAGTATTTGTATATTATTATAATTAATTGAAATAAATTGCCGCAAAGATTGAAGTATTATAATAAAAAATGACTGGCTTATTTAATCGCTAAATAAACAGTATATATTTTTGTTTAAAATAAACACTATGGCATAATTGAAAAATAGAATTAAGGCTATATTTCTGAAATCCAATATCAAAATTTTTAAAGGCAATATAATCACTATTGCACGAAAGGTGATGAAATATCTTAATAGAGGATTATATGATTCGACATTTGAAATAGGCTTAAATTGGCTAGTAAAAGAAAAAAATGATGAATTATTAATTATATATAATTTTTCATTTTAAAAACTATGGACTAACCAAGACATGTTTTCAAGAGAGTAAAGGAGCGTTCTATAATGGATGCTAAATAAAGTGTTGATGAATGGCGAAAGTTATTCAAGAATGGCGAAACTGATCAAAATGGAAATAAGATTAAATACAGTCTTAAATAGGCTGCTGAGAAGGTTGGTGTACCAAAAAAGACTTTAGAAGATTATCATTAGTTATTAAAGTAATAATAATTAGTTATCTTTAAGAAAAGCTGAGTAATTCCTCGACTTGAATGAAGTCGGGAATTAAAAGATGGGTTATTTGAGAGGTTTTTTAAAATGTAAACAACAGCAACAAACGGGATCAGATATTTTGTCAGGCAAGGATTAAAATATCGACAGCAGTGACTATATGGAGGAAGAGGATGAATTCAAGCAGCAATAATAATAATAATAATTTCATTATGAAGAGATGATAGTGGAGGGAGATGTGCGTTGTTATTACATGGAGGATTAATCTGACTTCATCTAATAGCATGTTCAAACTGTCGTGATCCACCATTAACTAAATTATGATAATAAATTAGATATTCCGTACGGCGATTGCGATGATTGCGATGATTTCGATGATTGCGAAACAGATGATGAATTTGATAATGAATGATTCATTATATATCATAAATACCCTTTCAACCCTACAAATAATCCATCAAATCATCCATAAACTATCCACCAGGCTTTTGCTTGTGTTCAATTGCTGCTTTCAAAGCCTCCTAAAATACTTTAACTACATTAGTTCCATCCGCTGAAGATGTGTAATAAATGGGGAGATTGTTACTCTCTGCAAACTTAAATTTAGTCTCAGTGACACTGGGATCCACTAAATGTTTGATAATCTTATATATACAATCAATTTTATTGGCAACCAATAAACAAGGAATTGTGGGACAATTCTATCTCATTTCTTCATACCATTTCTTTAGATTTGTATAAGTAATCTTCCTTGTGACATCAAAACACTTATGAAAATATACAAATTACCAAAATACAAGCATGAGCACCATAATAGTACGAGGCATGCAGAGTCTGGAAACATTCCTATCCAGCTGTATCCCATAAATCTATTTTGATTATCTTATATTCAATACCAATTTTATACGTTTTCCCTTCAAACTTTGCATTATGTCGATACATTGTCAATGCATATGTAGATTGCTATCTTTCCTCATAATCATCTAATAGAAATCTCTCTACCAATTTCGATTTTCCAACTGCTGAATCACCAAGAAGAATGATTTTCAAATCAGCTTTTGAGAATTCATTTTCATCGTATTCCCTAACTTTTCTTTTCATTTTTTCGAGAATATTTCTTAATAATTTAATTATACACACCAAATCAAGAAATAATTATATCTTAAGTAACTAATCATCTCTAGTAAATATTCGTACTTATACAAGTGATCTGAGCAATATTTGAATGCCTATTCTCGTATCTACTAATTAATATACACAAATATCAAGTATATGAAATAGATTATCATTACTAAGACTCATTCAATTAGAATATTCAATAATAAAGTATATGATTGATTAATAGATTAAATGAAATACAAATTATATAATACAATAATAATGTTATAAAATATATTTACATTCATATTTGCTTTATTCGATTTATTTGTTTTGTACATCCTACATCATTACATTGATGAATATTGCTCTTCCATATTGATAGTTAAAAGAGTACTAGCCATTATTTCCACTTTCATACCAGGTAAACTTATTAGTTTACAATAGCACTAAAATAAATTAAATGCTCAGTTATTTTAAAGCCGATTCAAATTAGTATGCAATTTGGATTTTTACCTCAGTTACTTACATATAATGCGATTGTGAATTTTATTTTAAGCATGATCATCAGATTGTGTATAATTGCTTTTGCAATTGTATTTCCATTTTCAATCGTGTTAATTATGAAATTATCCAGTTTGCTTAATTATGTAGGAATGTTAATCTCTATTTATTTATTGGTGGATATATCATGGAAAGGTGGGATATATTTTTAGTATAATCTCAGACATGCTTAAATGGCTTGCTTGATCCCGGGAATAATATTTATTTACTCTTTATTGACTTGTGAAGGTATTTTATCCAAATTAGCTATATTATTACCTATTCTACAGTTTATAATCACTGATAAAGGATCTCTTATAACATCCTTTTTGGTTGGGATTTTTATGATGTAGAAGTCTCTTGTTGTAATTTACATCCTTTAGAGTTTACTCATATACTACATCATCTTTTGGATGAACAATAAATACACAAGAATTCTAATTGGATTAATTATTTCGTGCAGCATTGACTTCAAGGAAAATAGCATGGCACAGATTTTATATTTTAGTATATATGTGATAACTTTGATTAAAAATAGATTTAAATAAAAACCAATGTGATTAACTTCATATTTTATTTTAATTACAACATTTTATAAACAAAATAAAATAAGGTTTAAGTTATAAATATTCGTAAAATATCTACAATTTTAATGATTGTTTAGCCATTTGAATAAGAAATGATTAATGTTTAATAAAATGAAATATACTAATTCATTTTGGTTATGCTGATTCTCCAAACTTATGGATATAGAATGGATAATTACTGCAAAATAAAATATCACGTAAAGTACGCCAACACATAAATCTAGAATTGCAACAACTAAGGAATATGTTCTTATTCCACTTTCAATATACCTGGTATGTAAACCAAAGACCCATGATCCAATGCTAGCATTAGCAAATTAAAATACAAGAAAATGTAGAGACCTCTACCAAATAAGTTGTCTATCAACCCAAATCCATCTTGTATCCATTTTACTTAGAATTCAGAAGGCAACAAAACCATTGATAGTAAACTGAATATTTTCGGAAATGTTCTTACCTCAAATTGAAGCAAATAAAGACATTATTGATCACTGTATCTATACATGTTTCGTCAGGGCAAAGAGGAGTGAAGAATCCCCAGACTGCTAGTCCTATTGTGATTCCTACGACTCCAAGTGTTGTGAATTTCGTGACAAGTGCTTTATCAAATGCCATTTATTATAAATATACTTTTATTATATAATTAATTGCTGAAATCAACTTTATTCCTTATCTCCCTTTTTTGCCTTTTCTGCTTCAGCTACCGCCTAAGCCTCAGCAGCTGCTGCTTATTTAGCCTCTTCAATTGCTTTCCCACATAACTGTATCCCTATCATGGTATAATCACCCTCTTAATGATTCATAAGTATCAAAATTACATTAAGAAATGATATATTCAGATTGAGCCTTTGTCCTAATCCTAATTATCTCAAGATCATTCTAGATGATATCAATAAAATAATACATCAGCACTTCTCAATTCCCTTTGGATGCATTTCTTAGTGACATTCCATAAATCAGCAACTAAGGCAGACATATGAACTGCTTTTTCGTAGTTTATATTTTTTTCCGATCTTTTTAGTGGAATACCTAAATAATATAACTCTTCTCTTATTACAGTCTGAATTAAATATTACATAACCATTGGCTCCTTCCACATTCGATAATCCTCTTAACACTTCATCAACATTAATATCATTTATTGGTTGCTATTGTATATAAATGTAATAAGTTACCATCTTGACTTTATATTATAAATTAATTAATACTATAAATGCAATCTAAAACCATAATTGATGAAACAACTATTATTTTTGGTATCCCTAGAAGGTAGATGGATGAATACACAACACTTAATTATAAATGAATGCAACCAATATAATATATTATGGATCACTTTAAATATTATATCAATATAAATGCTACAAAAGTAGCACTGAGGATAATACCAGATGTTGACAATCTATTCAGGAGACCAAAGATCTTATTTTAAATTTCATTTATTTCCTGATTCTATTGTTCGTATTATACTGCTTATTCTTGAGGACTTAAATGTTTTACTTCCTCATTATTTATTTTTCTTTTAGCTCTTCTTTTATTCTCAAGTTGTTGAACAAGTTCTCTTAAGTCATCATTATCTTGGAAAATTTATTGTTATTCATAAAAGATATCGTTTTTTCTATCTTGAGATTAATCATTTTTATATCTATTGATTTAATTCATCTATTAGTTTATTTTTCCTTCTTGATCCTGTATTTTTTCTTCCTTTTATTTTAGTTACAATTTTAGATATTTGACTTCATTTTATAAGTTATAAGAAACCGAACTTAAGCTATCTATCTCATTTTGCATCTTACTCAAAGTTTCATCCTCCTAATTTTCTTGATTTTTGGATATATGTTTAAGCGCTTTTATCTAAAATAAATAAGAATATTACCTCTTAATTTAATTTGGCAATTTCATTTGTTTTTGCTTGTCCATCATCCTTCAATTTTTAAATTTCTTATTTCAAATTAATAATTTCACTGTTGGATTAAGCATCGCTTGTGCTCATCTTTTTTATTTATTCTTCATATTGCTTGATTTTCCATTAAAGGTTATTATTGATTATGTATATGATATCGTGATACTCTGGTTGATTTGATAAGAGTGAGCTATCGGAGTCCTTTAATAATTTCAGAAGCATATTAATTAATTTTGCCACCGCTCCAATTTTTACTTTAATTTAAGGATCGTTACTCAAAATAGGTTGTGTTGTTTTGATAAAAGACTTAAATTAATGAATTTTTACATACCATCAAATCATTGCATTTGCCAAATATATCATAATCCAACACTTACAAGGCATTTAATTCATTTATTTCTTAATTTGACATTTAAAATATTTATTTTTCAATATAATTAATAATCAAAGCATAATTTCAAATTCATCAATTTAATCTAAATTTTATTTATCCGGAGCATCTATTTAAATTACTAGATTTCCCTCGTGAAACTCATTATGTTATAAATTATGTCTCTATTACTATAAATTGCTTTTCCTTATCCTTTTCCTTTTAGGATTGCCATCTATCTTCATAATCTTTTGACTTTAAAAACCCTGTACACTTTCATCAGATTACTCCTTGACCTCCTCATCCTTATCCCCCTCCTCCTGCTGATGACTATCCTCCAAATCGATTATCTTATTGAATTTGCTCTTCTATCTCCTCCTTTCCATACAGATCATCGATTCCACATTAATGAAGGGAGAGAAGTCCAGATTCTACCCTTTTAATCTTAAGATTTAGGACTGATTCCAAACCTTCCAAAATTCGCAAGTATACAACTAAGCCTCTTTGACATTGTTCAAAATAACTACACTCTCTACATTCTTACGAAACGCATTGTTCGTCCAATTTGCAGAGCCGGTCATAATAATTTGGTCGTCTATCACACAATATTTTTAATGCATCAAACAAAGTTCCTTCTCGTATACTGCAATTTTTATCTTCTCTAAGGAACTCTAAATCATCATCAAAAGTATGGACTTTGCTTTTTTATCATCATTACTGGAATTAGTTACAATTTAAATATCTCTCCCATTTAGTGAAAGGTCAATTAAAATGTTGACCAATATTTTATGTGAAATCTGATACATACATACAATCAGCTTTTTTTGGCACGACTTCAAATTCTCAGCATAAATATGAAAGTTTCTTTTATTGGGAAAGAACAAATGCTAAATCTCTTCATTCTTTCTTTTTTCTTTTTTTTAATCTACTCCAATTTAATCCATTTAATAATTAAATTATACGTTTAAATTTCAAATTTTACTTGAATTCAATTAAATAATACAATATATTCATTTCTCTCTTGGGTGCCACTCACCTAAGTATCATTTATTAATTTTACAATAATAAAAACTACTAAATCCTTATCTATAATTTAGATTAATTTATAATTAACCCTGAACCTACATGGGTGTAGCTCAATATCTAATCTTGAGATAGCAAGACACTATTACATGTCCTAGTCAATTTGGTATAATTAAATAAACAGTTGTAAATAAAGTGATTGTTTTCATTATTTCAATTAATTTTAATATGAAATAATATAAAATTAGTTCTATGACAATTTTGTTACATTAACATAATATAGAAAGGGTTGTATAAAAGATAGAACATAATTGCTATGAAAGAAATTCTGTTAAACAAAAATCAGAATAAGTAGATTCAGATTTCTTTTTTTCTAAGCCAACCCAAAAATAAAATGGTCATCAGAGTCATCGACAACCAATGAGTGCTCGTAGTTTATACTTCACTCCCATGAAATCAGCTAAATCACATAGGTAAATGCAGCAATAAAAAGAAGTCAATCATTTTGAAGATGGAATTGAATCTATAGATGGAGATCAATCTAACCTTTTAACTGTCATCCTTTAGTTATAAGAGCAAATTAAGCAATAAAAAGAATAAATTGAAAAATTGAACGAAAAATGCACAATACTTGAAGCTGAAAAGGATGAAGCATAAAAACCAAACATTGAACAAATTACAATTACTGCGCATCTGCTGTAATAAAATGAACAACTAATGCAATAATTAGCAAGATTGAAGAAAAAATAATGATTAATTATGTTTAATATCATAAGTCTTAACAAAATACTATAAGCTATTCTTAAGCATCTTAAATAATCACTACCCTAATATCTTTTAAATATATATTTAGCTTCCTGAGGTTATTCATCACAAGATCTATTAAAGTAGTCAAAACTCAGCTCCAGTAAATTACATCTAATCAAAATAAAAGCAAATTATTTTAGTTATTTAATATTGTATCATTAAGATGCTAAATTGCAAAGATGAAACAATTAGAATTTGCTATGTCAGTAATGAACTCTTCTTCTATTTATCATAATAGATAGTTTATTTTATGATGCATAAGTTTTATTATTTTGACTTAGTAAATTATTTATGTTTTAGGACTGGCTTTAACTTAATCAAAAACTGATATCAAAAACAGCTACCTAAAACCTATTTATTAAGCTATTGCATGACAGTTGATATATTCCTTGAATTCTTACTTAAAAAGTTCTGTGTTATTGCGAAAAAGTAATATTTATACATGTTGATTCATGCTTCCTGAAAAGATTAAATTTTTATTCTAAATCATATTTATTGGTGATAGTTGAATGTTCTTTAAAGATTTATTCAAATTTTTAAAACATACGGTGTCATAAGCAAGGATTACATATGGCTTTATTTATCGAGGAAAACTCTATTAAAATTATGTATTCTTCTTGATGAGTATTCGTAAAAAATGTTCTCTAAACAAGTAAGCTGCTTGAGCTCTTGCTAAATCTTCTCTTGAACTTATTGATTTTAAAGGTTTTTGAGAATATTGAGCATCAATTAAATAATATAATCATAGAAAAAAATCCTTAGGAAATTTATGGCTATTTCTCACTTTAATCCTTACTCTTTCTTCTGAGTTTTATCTACTATTGCTATCTCGTTACTTCTGTTCTTCTTAAAACTTTTTCTTCAATTCTCCAGTAGTTAGGAGTAATAATTCCAATATATTGTTAGTCTTATGTTTTTCTAATTCCAGTTTAATATTATTTTGCTACTAGACTTGGTTATCTTTAAAAAACCTTCTTAATGGTATCATATTTGGTTTAGTCGCTTATTATAATAATTCTTAGGAATCATTAATTCTACTTGAGATTAGATGTTTAGCAGCAGATTATTACTAAAATTTGAGATAGTTTATTTACACGACTATGAGATGAATAGACTACTTTTTCTTTGAATCCATTCAACATTTATTGAGATCGACTAGGCTTGACATTTCTGGGAGTACTGTTGAAAATATTAAAGACCCTAATTTTCTCATTAGAGCGACATTTCTCTGCTGAGGATGGTACTCTCACTTGTTTCTTATTATAAAGAGATATGGAACGAAACTTAGACAGCTCCTCTTTTCTGGTTTCTTCCATGTCGATTGGTTTTAATGCTGGTTTTGTTTCTGTTTGTATACTTCTCTTCACATAATTCTTTATTATAGTATTTAAGATCTACATGCTATTCAAAATGCCTAGTGTGTTCAGAATCTTTGGTGTGTACTCTTTTTTATTAGAAGTAGTCTTTCGAATTGCTTTGTAAGAGGTATTTTTTGAGCATTATAAAATTAATATAATTCAATTCTTTTCTCTTTCAATACATTATAATAAATCTTTATACAAGTAGTTGATGGCATGTTTAATTTGTTCTGAATCAGACTCTCTATCGTCATCTGATTTCTTTAATTTTTTAAATATAATTCTTACATGTTTTTATAAGATTGATTAGTATTTCTCGGGAATATTTAAATCTCTGTCTTCATAGCAGATAAATTATTTCGAGGATTTGTGTTTTTTCAAATTTATTGTGGTCTTTATTTAAATAACAGAAGTACATATTTGTGTTTCTTGCATATTGGTCCTCTTTTCTTCCTAGGTGTTTGTGCACTGCTATTGAGGGCGAATTCACTCATAGATAAATTCTAAAATAAGGCTTAAAAATGGTTAATATATAAGGTATGAAATTTTTGAGAAATTATAGTTAATACCTCTTAACAAGTCACTGACAAGTCTTCTCTTTATGATTATCTCTAAGAATTCCTTGTTTTCATTATTTTTAATAATTTTTTTAATCTATAGATCACTAAAATACTTAGTAACTAAGGCAATTATATTAACTAATATAAAATAAATATTACATTTTTCTCTTTTAAAAAGATCTCTATTCTTTTATATTCTGAAGAATTTAAATCTTGATATTTTAAGAAACTAAGTATCCACACTCAGTATTCCATCGATTTGTTAAAATGTTATGATAATTCCAATTTGTAATCTCAAACTGAATTTGATTTGAAATGAAGAATTTTAATAATATCATGCCTATCTCAAAGGCCAATAAAATTTAAGGATTTTATGTTAAAACCATAACATTCTAACGAAGACTATATTTCTTTGAATCTATCATTATTCAAGAAATTTTTGATCAGATATAATCAAAATCATAGTTGATTCTTCCCATCCCAGATCTAACTATTGAGCATTATATATTTTCTATATATTATGTAGTTTTCTATAAATATACTTTAAAACATTGTAATTATGATTATTCATATACTTTAAATAAATCAATAATTTTAAATTATTCTGTTAGTATAATTTATTTGTGATATATTTTAATAAATTTTTCTTATTAGAATCAAATAACCATAATAATATTATTTTAGATAAAGGCATTAGAATTCTTTTGATTCTGCAGGAGAAGTATAAAAATGATTGAATTATTAAGAAGATAACAAACTTCAAATTTTGCTCAATATATATATATATTAATTTTTACCTTCTATTGCTATTAATAAGCATAATAGCAGGCTTTTATATATTGAACGAAAAGATAGCTATTATATGATTAAAATAAGATAAATATAAAATAGTATAAAAATTCGGTTAAATTTGATTAAGTTTAGATTTATATTATATAAAATATTTTAATATTAATTCATATTAAATAATGTATTATTGAATACCAGAGTTTTCACTCAGCTTTAGATTGAAGAGTTACCCATAAGAACCAAAGTAAGAAGATGATTAGTTAGAGAATATTTACTTAATATAAATAAGGATATATCAATTTTATTCTTCAATAAAATATTTTCCCATAATTTCAGCTGTGGTTTCATCATTCTCGAGTCTATAGGGATAACCTAATTTAATCTCCACTTATTGGGACCTCCTTGAATTATATTAATCCATAAATCTACTCTTAGATCCTCCTTAAGAGTTTAAAGTATCTCTACTAAAAGGTTTATTCGACTGTTAACTTGAAATTTGCACCTGAGGTATCTCTTGTATTTAGGTTAGCTTTTGTTTTGGCAAGAACAATTCCGCAGTTTGATTTTATGATATTGCTTAATCTTCCTGAATTTTAGAGGAGCTTTATTGTAACTGTTCAGGTGGTTATTTTGAGACTATTTATTAATTTAGATAATTTATGGATTGTCTATAAAGTTTATATGGTTATTATGGTCTTAAGCTATGTAAAGAATGGCCTTTATAACTACTTTAGTATATGAAATTACTTATTGCTATGTTGATGAGGAGTGATATGATCTATACTTTTAGTTTATAATAAGGTGGTTTTATAGAACTCAATTTACTTATTTGTGGAATATTCATCATAATTAGATTACATATTTAAAATTTTATCCTATTTCATAGATCTTATGGATCTAGAGATGTGAATAGTAGTTCCAAACTAATCTTCTTTGACTGTGGGAATAAACTCACTTCTTTTATGCTTAAACCCTAAATGCAAAATGATACTTCTTAGTTTTTTTCTCTTTTTCTTGAAAGATCCCCAACGATTTCGTAGCCCTCCACATATTAATTATTTTGGTTGTTCAAATTGATTGGGTGTTGTTTCCATGGGAAGTAACTCTTCGGCCCTTCATAGAGACAAGGATATATATTGAAGGTTTTGTTGTCTAACCATTTAGATTTTTCATCGTCCTTCCAACTAGGATAATTTAGCATAATTAGATCTTTGTTCTAAAGTAAAATCCATGATTACTTCAAAATCCAATTATGCACTTATATTCTTAATTTACTTATTCAATCTTTGGACTTCACTCCTTTCCCCCAATCCAAATCTCAACGGTTTTTCTTATTTCGATATATCAGGAGGTCGTAGCCATCTTTGATAATTGTTGTTTGGAGGATTCTATTCAAATTCTCCAGTTGAGAGATGACTTTAAAAAAATTCCTTCTAAGCTGTTGATGCTCTGTCTTTAGCCACTTAAAATCTATGAAATCTTAGGCAAATGTTACGTTTTCAAATATATACCACCCAATTTGTCCAATTCTTTTTCCTTTTCCCGATCTCTAAATGAGTGTTTGCTTATAGACAATAAAGGATAGGAACCATTTTTCATAGTTTCAACAAATTATTTGGATAACATAGTCTCCTGAAAATTTTCTATTCTTTCAGAGGCTCTTGCTTTCAGTTTCACTGATTGGATATTACGCTTTTATTCTTATTCTATTTTTTTCTATTGTCTGCAATATTTATTATGTGTCATACTTTTCAGTCTCCTCCTTTTCTTTTTATAATTACTATTTCTTTTTAAAGAAGTTATTTAGGGACATTAATTTTTAATATTTTATCTAAATTATATTGCAATTAAAATAAAATATATTCTCATCTTATTGATTAGTAGAATTCTTATAATATTGCAGGTAATTGATTCATAAATCAGTAAGTTTAGATTGAGTATCTTCTATAATCAATCCATTATTCAAATAGCAATATGATATACAACTTTATTTAATTGATTCAAATGAATTTGGATATTTGAGATATCTATTGAATTGCTATGATTTTAATTCTATTTAGAATTCCTCAACCAATCAAATCAATTATTTTAATTTAGAATTTTAATTGAATTAATTTTTCCCACATTTTAAATAATTTTTATTGTCTTATGATTAATTTACAAGCGATTGTAAGTTTGGATGTAGGGGATAAAATAGAATAGATTTTTATTTATGAGGGGGATGACATTGAACTATTGACTTAATTTTTTTGTGATAGACATCAAATTAAATAAGAAGGAAAATAATTTATAATTGCAGAAATTAAAAGATAGCTAAAAGTGCCAGTATTATTTTTCTTGTATTTCAGGTAAAAACTCGTCATACTTCTATTCTGTCGTTGAATACTTAGCAACTCGTGTAAAAATTATATAGGAATAAAACAGGTATCAATTGTAATAATAAAAGAGATGGATGTTTTTGAGTAGTTATATGCAGATGCCAGCAACTAGTAAAAAAGATTGAATACAGCTTTACAGGAATAAGATCAAGAATACAAACGAATGAATTACGCAATCCCAAGAATCAATAGCATATCTCGTTTAATCGTTAAAAAGAGAGGTAATTCTGCATAACCTATCCATACGAAATTATATTAAGATGCTAAATTGCTGGATGCGAAAAAGCAAATCTTAAGATAAAGAGTTATGAGTTAAATTTATCCGTTTCATCCAAATAATGGAATGACTCATGCCAAAAAACCTTCATTTTAAGAACAAATCCTACATGCAGAAAAACTTATTTAAGAAAAAACAGATCAGAATTTGAAGTTGCAATAAAGAAGATTGGAATAAGAGTCAGCTTAAAATGATAAAGTTACAAACTAATCATATTTCAAACCTCTGATTCGAAAAGATCAAACATTCAAGTTAGTTAAAAAGAAGGTAGATAAGCAAGATCAGATACTAGCAAATTTAATTGGCAACAAAATGATAAAATTAAATAACAAAAATACTAAATCTAATATTAAGGAAAGTGAAGTTACAAACAATATAAATTTTGTTGAAAAGCTATTTAAATAATTAGATTCTGATCGAGATGGTTTCATATCGATTTCATATATCAACTTAAATATAAATGAAAAAGTGTTAAAAAAAATACATCCAATTTTGAATTATATTGAGGAGAACAATTTAGAAATTAATCTTGATTACTTTTTCTAACTATTAAAATTATTTCATATTAAATTGGATTGATTTCCTATTTTACCCAAGATTCTAATCATTTATTTTTTATCATAACTTATTCAAGTTCAACATAAGTAAGTCTATCTTGACTTCACATGCATAATCTTAAGTTATATTATTTTTGTGTAGAATAACAAAATAGTAAATTAAATCAAAGGCTTTTTGACTTAGTTTCTAATTTATAAGGTTTCTTAATATTTTAAACTTAAAAGAATCTTGGAGATCTATCAAATTATTCTAGTAAATTCGCTATGTGATGATTATAATGAATGATTTCAATATACAGGATGTAATCGTCATCAAGTAGTTTTAAGAATTGTTAAGATAATATAATGATAATTCATTAAATTAAACCTCATTCTTAAAGAATTGAATAATTTTATACTTTATATATTCTTATAAACTAAGAATTGTATTTTGATAATTTCTAATCAATTTCATTTAATAATAATGAATTATAAATATTTTATACTAATCTTAGGATGCCTGCTAATACCGATTTACGGTAGCAAATGTAAAAAAGTAATAAATTCTGATGCTATTTACATATTTGATGATTTGCAAACTAAGGAATATAAACAAATTCTAAACTGTATAGTATTTGTTTGATGACCTAGAAACAAGCACATTGTACTTTCGATTTTGCCAACCAATCTTAAAATGTCCAGAATTAGCAGTGAATACATTTGCTGTAATTATTAACAATGAAGGGAAACCGGAATAATAATGCATTTCCTTGGTTAATACAGATTCATACTTTGCAGATTCCTTTGAACTCATCAATGAAGAAGAACCAAATGAGGGTGTCCATGCTGAATTCAACAAGTACTGAAATTATTTATGATGTAATAAGCACTTTAAATGGTTTTGCTGTGAAGTATGTACTCTATTGTTCAGAGTAGTAAGAAGACCTGGAGATTTTGGACATCTCGTATGAGAAAGAAAAACAATTATACTAAATTGAAATGGAAGCAGACAATGGTTGCCATCTGGTTTTATTTTCTAAAATAGTGGAGTTTTTACAAGACAATAAGAAATTTCTGTCAGCTATTTTGATAGTAATTGGGTTAACCGAATGCTTAATGGGTAAGAAAATATTAAAGCCAACTCTCTTTATATTTGGATATTTAATTGGCTTTTTCTTTGCCCTGTATATATCAAGCGAACTAGACATAGGAGATAATCCATTTTATTTATGGATAGCTATGATAATTGCTGTACTACTGGGAGCATTTGTGGGAGGGTTGTCAATGCATTTAGACAAGGCTGGAATAGTTGCAGTAGGTATAGGATTAGGAGTAGTCTTGTCATTATTACTGTGGAATGCATTATTGGTTAAGTTTGTTACTTCAGAATACATACTATATTCGATCATAGTAGTTTTAAGCTTTGGATTTAGTGTGTTATCATTTAGATTGTTCGATCATTTAATCATTTTTAGCACTAGTTTTTTAGGAGTATGAATATATATTTAAATAGTCATATCTAGTGTTTAAGGCAATCGGGTTGATAGCTGGAGGGTTTCCTTCAGAGATTAAGAGCATCTCTGGAAATTCAGATTATAGATATTACATTTATTTTACTTGCATTATATTATTAGCTTGTTTTGGCATTTACTATTAATATAGATAATGGGGATAGAAGATTATCACATATGATGAAATTGTTTCTTCAATGATGAATGGCAATCAATAAACAGATCGTTAAGATCCGCTTCTAAATGAACATGGTAATAATAGTGAAGATTAGATTGAATTGAAGGAGATCAATTAGAAATCAGAGATTAAGGGTTTTTCATGAATGCTAACTAAAGTGTTATGATTATTTTTATAAAAACTTAGATAATTTTATATTTATAGATATAATATATTAATATCAATATTTAATATTTGATGTAAGGAAGGATTACTTAGGAATTAAATATTTATTTCACAAAACTATTACTAAATTATTTAAAATTCAATCAGAATCGCTAAAGGGATAATCTATAGTATAGACACCCTTTTTATTGGTGTCTTTAGTTACTTTGATTTCAGCATTTTTCCAACTATCAGATATATCTATAGATCTATATTTTTTAAGATTGTCATATAGATCTAAATTAGTATCCTAGCCAAGTGAATGCCTCTTCCAAATATCTCCAGCTCCGAAAAGGTAGCAAATTTATTTGATTCTCGATTCTTGATTAATATTTTTGACTCTCAAGATTCGCGCCATATTTTTTTATAATTAATACCTTGGGATATCTGAATTGCTTTATTCATGAGTGATCCAAGGGTGATTTAGAGCCTATTCTGGAGTGAATCTTTTTTCAGGATCCAATTATAAAAGGTTGGTAATGAGATCCTTGGCTGATTCAGATATTTGATCCCAGATGATTCCTGTGAATTCGTATTTACACTGTCGAATCTATTCGATTAGATCGTTAAGATATTCTTAATTGAAGGGCAATTCTCCACTGAGCATAACATACAATATGACACCTGCACTCCATAAATCAACTTGTTCACTAATTACATAAGTTTGGTTACTTATAAAGATTTCCTGAAAATATCTCAGGTGCTGAGAATGCTACAGTGCCAGTGTATGTCCACATTTCGATTTTGCCATGTTGATTGAGGTCTCCAAATTCTTTGTATCTGTCATTAAACTTTGAAACCTAGGGTTTTGTTAAGTTTTATACATTAAAATCGGTAATTTTTATGGATTTGCCATCATGAGCGCATAAGATGTTGTTCGGCTTCAAATCTCGATGGCAACAATAGTTTTCATGCATATATTTGATGGCTTCTAAAATCTATATGAATAGCACTCGAGCAATGGTCTCTTTCTTAGTTAAAATAATACCACTATATTGTTTTTATTATTAAATAACCTCAAACATCTCTCGACCCTCAATTTTCTCCATGATTACGCACACCATTCCAGTCGATTGGAATCCTTCAAACCATTAAATATAAATCTCTTTCATCGACACGATGTGAGGGTGATTCAATCTCCTTAGGTTTTTAAACTCCATAATCATCTTGGGAATAAACCTGAACTTTTACTTTCTTGACGATCTCCTCCGAGTCAGTCTTCACTGTTTTGCAAGCCAATTCGAAACCATCACTCCTTCTTTTCACACTCTTCACTAATCCTATACAACCTTCACCCAAAACATCTCCTTCTATATATTTGTTGTGATATTCTTTAATATCCAAAATATAGGTCTCTTCATCCCCTTCCAAAATGATTCCTAGTCTCTACAAAAACATTTGTAATGATTAATCATCTTGTTTAGTATTCTTGAGAAATTACAGCACGTCTCCTACACATGCAAAAATGTCTTACCTTACAGTTTATTCTTGAACTATTCCAGTTTGCATGTTTCTTCAGATTCACTCTTTCGAGAGAAAGAGAATTTGCTTTTTTTAACATTCTCAACTATCATAATAATTATGAATTGTTTTGATTCATATTGTCGTCAAATTATTAGGCCCCCTCGCAGACAATATATGATCAGTGATTTAGGTAACATGCATTTACAAATATAAAAAGGACCAAAAATCAGATTTCTTCAAACTAAAGCAATAGTCAGAATGGATTTTGTATTTGAATCCAGAAACATACAATTGAACGCTAGTTATTTTTTGACGAGATCAAAAAATCATAGATGCATGATTTACTTACATGGCAATGCAAGTTGCAGATTGGAAGGCATCAGGTATGCTGAAGTCTTGGCTTCATGGGATATAAATTTATGTGTTTTAGATTTTGCTGCTTGTGGCATGTCCAAAGGAGAATTTATTACCATGGGAGTATACGAGAGTCAAGATGTCATTGAATTGATGAAATACATTGAGAATAATTTTGGGAAAGTCGACGAATTCATGCTCTGGGGTCGTAGTATGGGAGCAGTTACTGCACTTCTCTTAACTGAAAATTCCAAAATTAGAACTTACATCATCGACAGTGCTTTTTCTGAATTCCGATAATTGCTGTAAGACATCGGGAATAGACAATTTGGAGTCTTCTCCTTCGTATTATATCTTGCCATCCCAATACTGAGGAGGAAAATATTGAACTAGGCCCAATTTGACATCAATCTCCTTAACCCAATAGACAAGTTGAAACAAGTCATACCAAATAAAAAGTTCTTTTTTGTGGCAGGCAAATCCGATACTCTCATTTCCTATCAATACACTCTTAAATTGTATGAGAATTGTTAGATGCCTAAAAAATTGGACATCTGTGAAGGAGATCATAATTCCAATAGGCCATCCACCACCTTATAGAGGATTATCGAATTTATAAATGAGGCTTGTGAATTTAAATATAACCAAGAATATTAAATCAGAACTGAACCCTATTTTAAGTTTTAAAATCAGCACTCCTCCGAAGAAGAGGAAGACTCAAAACTACAAATTGTACTATCGGAAATTAAGACTCCTTAAACAAAATAATAATTTATCAGCAACTGATGAATTGAATTATTATCTAGTTTATAATATAGTACTCTGCAATTATTAAACAAATCGGAATTAAATATCTTAATCATAATTATTTTTAATGAATTCAAAAAGTGCACTTTAAAGTGCAAAACCCACAAACATCAAGCAACTGCAAATGCTCCAGTTGCTAGTAGAGAGAGTGTACATCCCATTAGAATCCAAAGTCGAATTGAGGACCACTCTCTAGAAGTTCACAAGCCAAATCGAACATTCGAGCCAACAGGTACTCATATTACTCATATGTACAGGTTTCTGGTACCATCACAATTGAGCTGCCGGATGTTGTCGATTAAGTCGATGATGAAACTGCTCTGAAGAATTATGAACTTATGGATAAGTATGAAGAATATATAGGAAAATGGTCACAAACAATCCGACAGACCATATTGAAGGAGGCTAGTAGAAAAACAGAGAAGAATTCTGCCCTGGCCGACATCATGTTATGGAGATCTCGATCGGCAAATTTGAGTACTTTGTATTAACAATTGGTATGTGCAACTTCATAACCCTATTATAGTAAAACCCCATCGTTGCCAAGGTGAGATAGAGATTGCAAACCTTTTTAGAAGACAATCAATCCTCAGTCTTGGAATTTAATGGTCAATTTGCAGAGTTAACCAAGGCCCAGGCTGAAGCCAAAGACAACGTTAAATTTCTAACTACTCTGGAAAGACAGTTCAAGAATCTTGACTAGGATGGATTGAATGGAATCAAAGAGACATTGCCTTCCCTCATGAATGGACTCAAGATGGTGTGGATCATCTCTCGCCATTACAAAGAAGGAGATAAGATGTAGAACCTGCTGCAATTGATTTCAGAAGAAATTGCCGATAAGGTCGAATCCTAAATTAAAATACCTTAATTATTCACTCTGAGAGATGACCTACCCTATGAATAACAATTGGAAGCAAGCATCAACCTAATCATGCAAGGCTCAGAAATTCTCAAGTCTTGGAAGGATCTCTATCACAAAACTAAATTAGCTATCGAAGAGGAGAATCTTGATCGTTGGGATTTCACAGTCAGAACTATTCAAGAGAGAATCGAGTATATGGCTAATAGATTGGATGAGTTGAGGAAGGTAATTGACACTGTGAGAAAATTCCTAGTGTTTTTGGGACCAAATTTAAAAAAGGTCACGGGAAATGCTTAAGAAATTGATAAAAGAATAGAGGATGTCAAATAATTGATCACTCCCATTGTCAATAGCCCTTACAATTTCTTTTAAAAACAGAATGCCGGTCAATGGAAAACCATCTATTAAAAGTTTTAAGAGAATTAAAAGTAAATCGTTTAGAAAACCATTGATTTAATTGATGAAACCTTTAAATCCTTGAGATCTGCAGAAGGAGCTTTTGATTTATTGTAAAACTTCAAAAGCATCGACACATTAGAGGACATCAGTACAACTTTACAGAAAAAGTATCAGGAAGTGTTATTCCAATATAAGAATGAGTTAAAGTAGAATCAAGGTCTATTTGAAAAAGGACAGCAGTCCACTGATGTTTCTTTGATATCATCCAAAAATCGTCCACCTGTTGCAGGATCAATAAGCTGGGCAAGGTCGATATTCTATAGAATCAAAAGACCTGTTCTTAAATTCATAACAAGAGAAGAAACTTTTATTGAAAAGAAGGACGAACAAGAGAAACAAGAGAACAAGGAGAGTAAGAATCCTAAAAATTTGGGATCATAATATAATGAAGCCAAAAATGAATACAGAACCTTGGCTAAGAAGTTGGATCAATTCCAAAAGGAAAAATTTGAAAGTTGGGAGAAATCTATCACAGAAAAAGCTTTGCAATATCAAAAAAATAGGATTTTGACCAAACATGAACAACCTAAGGAAGAAGGAAGTTGGAATCGTAGATATACAGTGTTCTTTTAGGATGAATTCAAGACTTTAATTAAGGAAACGAAGCAACTTGAAAAAATGGGATATAAAATCAATTAGACAACCATCAACATCTCAAAATTAGAGAAGGAATTCTATGGATATATCGATAGATTGTAGATTATGTTAAGAGAATATGACGAGGCTGTTCACACCTTACAGCCAATTGAAAAGGAGTTGTTGAAAGAGAAGATCATGAAATTAAATAGGGCCTTGGAACCTGGACATGAATCTTTGAATTTGGCATCTTTGGGCATTCCAGATTTCATTGACAATTGTCTTAAAGCAATTAATGAATTCAGGGATATTAAGAAGAAAGTGAGAAAATCTACAGGAATGATTGAGGATATCGTGAAATCAATTGAAGAAGCTCAAATTTTGAGAGAGTATGATTTTGAAACAAGAAAGGAAAATGCATCTCTGCCCTAATTGAATGAGTTCTAAAGTTACTTCGAAGAACATCTAAATAAAACAATAGAGGAGTTGGTGGAGAAATACAAATTAGTAGGTGATAATTTCCTGAGAAATATTGAGGAATCAATTTTCAATAGTTCATCGAAGGGGGAACCTCGAATGAGGGAATATTATTACTATTGGGAAAGAAGAATATACAATGCTTTAGTGAAAATGACTCTTAGAGGATTTTTAACCTTTAAAAATTTATTGTAACAACCAAGTGGTAAATAAGTGCCCTTATTTTAAATCACTGCTGAGTATAATCATCCGCAATTGAATACTATTCCTCCCATTCCTGAGGTGACTACTGTTTTGGAAAAGATTTCAACAAGCATTAAAGAGGCCTCATAAGGATTCTGGAGATGGATGGATGGATATTGTATTTTCTGTGAAAAGAAGTAAAGTCGAAGTGCCAATGAAGAAATCTAGTATCATACCTTCTATAGCTAAATTATTAGAAATCCTATCATTACTCGTATTGCCATGTAGATTGGTATTATAAGGGAGAAGGCAAGTGATAAAGTGAATAACTTTAAGGAAATGTGGGAGGATGATAAAAAGAAGCCTCTATGGGATCAAAAGGCTAAGCATGCCGTTGAGAAAATTATTGATAAAAACCCAACCACTCTATCCTTGGAAATAAAGATGAGCTAGTACAAGGGTTTGATTTAAGATTTTGAAGAGTACCCTAGGGAGAGAAAGGCCTTCTTTATTTCTGAATATTTTGGAAATGTCATTGAAAGCTTCAAGGCTCAGGCTAAAGATTGGATGGATAAGCATGGTATCGTATTAAAGACATTGGGCATGAGAGAATTAGAAGCAATTAAGAAGGAGATTGATGATTATAGAGAACAATTGATGGTGCAGCCAAAGGATATCGAAGATCTAAAGAAGCTTTTGAACTTAATTTAAGAGATCAAGAATATGACAATGAATATGGAATTTAAGATGGGTGATGTAACTGAAAGGTTTAGAACCTTAAAAATGTATTAGCAAAATGTGGAGTAAGAGAAGTTGGAAGAAGCTTTTTCATTGAATGATAGATGGAATGAATTGGTTAATCATGCAAAGAAGAAGGATTCCAAATTAGTTGAAAAGAAAAAGGAATTTGCTGAAGTGACAAAAAAAGAAGTAGAGCAATTTAAGGAAAATATTAAATTACTCTATAAAGATTTTAAGGCAAGTGGTCCAGGTGCTGATAGTACTTCCTTGGATAAAGGTTTGGAATCTCTACAAGAATATAAGACAGTTGTTTCTGAGTTGAATGCAAGAAGAGAGGAATTGGTCAAGGCAGAAAAGCTATTCAATTTACCCATATCTTCATTCCCTGAATTGGTTGCAATTGAAGAGGAAAATAAGGTCCTATCTGTTTTATATGATTGTTATAGAACAGTGAAAAATTAGATTCAAGAATGGTCAGTCATGCTTTGGGTTAAGTTGGATGCTGATTTATTGAAGAATGGAGCTGATAACTTTGACAAGCAAAAGAAGAAGTTGGCAAAGCAATATGAGAAGAATACAGTGTATGAGAAATTAGCAAAAAAGATTACTGATTTCAAAGATTCAATTCCTTTGATTTAATAATTGAAG